ACAATCTTGTCTTTGGATCTGTAAGATTCTTCAACATATTCTCTACTTTTGTCGCGGCGAAGTTTTCTGTATTAGTCCTTACTTTAGAAAAGTCTCCTATGATTTGACAGTCGTGCCTCCTGAAAAAAGAGTAAATTGGCCCAGTTGGTTTCGAACATTTTTCTACAATTAAGTGAGTGTTCGTAGGTTTTCGGCGTTCACAAATTTCTGCGATTCTTGCTTCAGTTACAGGGTTAAGAAGCTCAATAAAATTTTTCAAATGATAGTTCGATGACATTTCTTCTTCTAATCCGTAAATTAACATGCGTTGCAATGTTTCTTGGTGCGTCAAAAATCCATTTCTTGGTTCACTAGCTGTTCTAAGCCCCAAAATTTCTTGGAGAATACCCGAGTAATTATAAATTTTCTTACTCTGGACATTTTTCACTGCAAATCTCTTGTTCGCAAAGCAGAAGAATTCGGTAAAGCAGAGCAAATTCGGACAAATGCGGACAAATTCGGTGATGACGAATAATTTTTCGCGTGAAAGTATTAATAATACGATATCCACAATACGATAAGTATTGTGGATACACGTCCTATCACCGCACCTATATATTTCCAAATTATTTTTGGTCCGGTTTCAAAAGTCGCAACGTAGTTCGGATCTAATTGTTTGCAGTAAATAGGATGGACCTTGGTAAGATCGATATGCTAATGGAGATGAAGTACTTGTAATAACATATGTTTGTTTCAGTACATCTATTCGTTAGACAGGAAGTCATACATGTTAATTTGAATTATTTCGAGGTAACGATAGCAAACAAGCTTCCAGTTTTGATTAAGAAACGATCACCAGGGCCCGTACTGTCAAAATGTATTAAATACACATAGCGGTCTAATAGGAGGCGCACGCGTTAGAAATCAATCTCAAACGGCAATTTAGGCGGTTTGACTGCAGAGAATGGCAGATCAAAATTTGCTGGTTCATTATCTTCTCTCTGCAGGATGTGAACGCATAATATGTCGGCAGATAGGGCGTTTGGTCGGGGCCTTTCATTTGAAAATATGACCACCGGCACTGTTTTGAATCTTCGGCTTTTCCCGCCGTCAATGTTATTCCGTTCTTGAGATTTCCTAACAGTATGTAATTTTCTGCATTCGATCTTCGTGGTAAGTCGAAGACCGTTTAAATTTGATGCTATAATGATGCCTTCAAATAACATAGAGATGCATTTAGAGTATACTGAATACATGCCAGCTTGCTCGATGAAAAATGTAACAAATCTACCCACCGTTCTAGAGTCTCTTGATGGCCACTTGTATTCCTTTGCGATAATTAGTTTATCAGGATTTCAAGAACTTCGTATGGGGGCATAAATTTTTGGAGATGGCAGATTAAATAATATTGAATCAACAACATAAGAGAAAATGTATTATCCTTGTAATTTAAAAAGCAATGATTGAAATTGTTAAATCGTTACATATTCAACATGGAAAAGATTAAGAATGGTTGGAAGATGGCAGTCTAAATAATATTGAATCAACAACATGAGAGAAATTGTATCCTTGTAATGTAAAAAAGCAATGATTAAAATGGTTACGTCGTTACATATTCAACATGGAAAAGATTAAGAATGGTTGGAAGATGGCAGACTAAATAATATTGAATCGACAACTTAAGAGAAAGCGTATCCTTGTAATGTAAAAAAGCAATGATTGAAATGGTTACGTCGTTATATATTCAACATGGAAAAGGTTAAGAATAGTTGGAAGATGGATGACGTTTCCATCAACAACATAAGAGAAAGTGTATCCTTGCAATTTAAAAAGCAATGATTGAAATGGTTACGTCGTTACATATTCAAAAATTGAGCATTGATAACATTTCCATCAAGTTTATCAAAAACTGGTAAATTAATGTTTACGCCACTTTTCAGCAGGAAGAAGATAAATTGAAGGGAAACTTTATTTCATATTATTGAAAAAATTGCAATATATGGCATAATGACTCGAGTTATATTTTTAAGAGCTGCCAGCAAAAATATTTATGAATTAGTGGCATACATTTGGGAAAAATGCGTGTTGGATGGAATAATGAAGAATATGCAATATTGATAAGAATTTATTATCCCGAATTTTAAGATTATGATGTATTTATAATAATAATAGCCGTTGTCAGCGTATATTAGGCCGTAGGTCTGTCACCGATTCTGAACGTCGCAGGACTTATCACAGCTTGTTACGCGTCTCGAACACGCAACTCGCTGCTCCAATATCTATTGGGCTTAATTTAACCGCCCGGCCTCCTCGCCGATTTGGACCAAACCGAGGCAGGCAGCGGGAATCGAACCCGCACCTTCCCTGCCAGTCTTTGTACTCTGAACTACTTAACCACCCTGCCTTATTTAATTAATGCATCTTGTTCTTGTTCACGACGTATTTGTGCTAATGATTGGTGAAGGACTCCCAGTAATTAAATTAAGATGACTGGCAGTCCGATTTTTGAAGTTTGGATAATTGATGCATTGCGATCGAAAATGAAACGCACGTGAAAGATTTCACCTTTTCGCGCAAAATGGGTAAAAAAGAACAATGCACTAAGCAGAGCAACTGAATTCAGGGTGGCTTCTTTGGTTCGTCGATTTCACTGTTAAGACCGGGCTTAGCCCATCGAGCTTAAATTGTCATCACATATTATTCCTTCATACCTGCGTCTTTTTTTTAGACTTGAATGTTTTATACTAGAAAATCGTATTGGATAAGCTTGCCTTTCAGATTATATACTTCTTTGTGTGCACTGTTTTCCATTGTCTGTCCATCTAATTTGAGTAATCCCCTGGGCAACCGACATCAAAACCACACGGGAATTCGAAAAGTAATGATCGCCAATTATGAAGCTTGCGCAACTACAATGAAGAACTTCTTTGCAACTACTTTCAAAGCTACAAAAAGTAGGAGGAAATTCACCATTTGTTGCGATAGAGGTACTGCACCCAAAGATGTCTCCCGACAAGCAACTGTTGTTTCTTACGTTTCTGACAACGGACTGCCCAAAGAAGTTCTCTTAGGTGTTGGAATGATTCGGCAAGGCGATGCTCAGACGACCACAAATCATGTAAAAGAAACAGTTGCAACATTCCTGGACCCCTCATCGGTTGCATTTATATGCACCGACGGAGCTGCTGTATATACGGGAAAGAGAGGAGGCATGATTGAGTTATTAAAAGCGTCTGCAGAATATAGCACATTGATCGGACTCCCAGACTTCTGCCACAAAATGGAAAATTTGCTTGACAAAACGATGCCTCAGTGGGTTAGCGACACTTTGTCGACATGCAGATCTATCGCCGCATTCATCTCCGAACATAACATTGTTAAAAATCAAATACATAAATATATAAATATTGTTAAGAATTCTAATTTCATCGCCATCCCCAATCAGTGCGATACTCGCTTCGCTGAGTATTTGCATTTCCATTTAGACGCAATTTTGAAAAACATTCCTATTCTTATCGTGGCACTACCAGAATTAGTGAATATTCAGAGCTCTCTGGGAGACAAAGCAAGAGGCATTTTAAAATCAATATCCAGCGAAACATTCCTCATAAAATCAATGATGATCAGACGTCTTTACAAAGCAATATCTAATAAGGAAAAAGCAGGCCAAGATGCCTGTTTCGGACCCTTCGATTACAGACACCAAATCGATGTATTTCAACAAGAAATGCAAGAATTGAAAACACTTTCACCCGACATTCAGAGCTGCATTAAAGATGGCACTCTCATGTTGAGCTCTTCAACCGATTCTCCAACAGAGTTCTCCGGTACCAACATGAAAGAAATTGCATCAAGACTAGGCTTGAGGACCAGAAGTGATGTAGATGGGTCAAAAGACAAAAATTTAATTGAATCTATAATTGAATGTCATTCAAAATGGATTGATACAATCTGTGTGGAAGCTGGAAATTACTTGGTGATCCCTCCTTCTATCACCCTCGTAACCGACTTATTTTCGCTCCATAGAAATGCTGATATCACGGATGAACGGTCAACGGACATTAAAGTACTATTCGAGTCCGTTAACGTTGACTTTGAGGTATGTGGCCCTCAATGCCAGGCAATCAGGGAGTGCAGCTGTTTAACGAAAGATTATATTGATTTTATGGACGTTTTCCAAAGTGAGTGGCAGGCTGTGGCAAGCAACAAACTCATCAAAAAGGACAGTATTCAACCAGTATCATACACTTACGCATTCGCTCACTACATTAGCACTAACAACGAGAAATCAGTGTATCCAATAAACATCATTCGTTGCTTAGAAATTATTCAATTAATGAAGCCAACTCAAGCAGCCACTGAGAGGGTGATGTCACACGTGGCAAATACTGTGCAAAATCGATTCCAATCTAAGTATGTCTATCGGCCAGAGCCTGATGAAGATAACGTCATCGACAATGTAAACAATGAAGTTTTCCTGAGATGCAACACCAACATTGTGCAGCATGATGCTGACCTTGCAAGAGAAATATTCCTTGGTAATAAACATTTGGAATCTCTCATATTAGATAAGAAATCTAACCATAAAAGTAAATCGGTGAGCGCATATCTAAAGGAACTTGGGAGTGATGTGATGAAATACAATTTCCCAAAACGATGTCATGTGAAAAAGAAGAAACAAGCTGAAAACAGGAATTCTCAAATAGATCTTTGGCTATCGAAAGCGACCGATACCCAGCAAGCCATTTTGTTACTCAATTCCAATCCCGAAAAACCTTCTACTTCGCATGTAAGGGAAGGTGAAATTTCTATTTCTTGTGTCATCCCTTCTACTTCACATGCAGAGGAAAGTGAAATTTACTGCATCTGCAAATTAAAAGTTCCCAAAAGAAAGAAAAGAAATGCAGCCAGCGTTGATTTATCCGAATATGTTGGCTGCGAGAATGCAAAAAATTGCGAATCATACCTGGAGCGTATGGCTGCTGAAGGAGTCGAAGGTGGCGATTGGTTTACCAGGAAAATGGTACTGTGCAAAATGCGAAAATAAACAAATTATGTTTGAAAAATTGCAGCAGAAATTGGATGAAAAATTGCAGCAGAAATTGGAAAAATATAAGTTCGTAAAATAGAGATGTCATGAATTCTCCCGCTAACGCAAGCATCTTCATGTATATATAGAAACTGTTAATTTTTGTGTTAATAGGACATGTTCTGTTCTTTAAGCTTAAGGAAAGTGGAAAGGACGTGCGACTTGCACATGCGTTGGATCTACGTCCCGCATCCTGGTAACATAGTCATACAATATATGTACATACATAGTTCAAAACGTAATTTTGGACGGTGCATCTTATCACAGAGATCAACGCATGTCAGAAAGAAAGTAAACTTACTGAACTCCAAATATAATCGGGCAATTTAAATTGAAAGTATCATGCATCGTTGTCGCGTCAAGATGAGCAATATTACATCTCGTAACTCTTCTCATCATTTCTGCATTCGTAAATGGTGAGATTATCCATTAACGACGCCATTCAGAACTGTTACTTTTTCAAATTCGTAACTCTAAAGATAGATACTGATTTCTGATGAAGGTTTAAAATATTTATGTACAACATGAAATAAATAATTTACTAAACATAAAATATACAGAAATAACAGTATAATTTTTTAAATAAATTCCTAATGTTACCTTCGCTAGACAAAGGGTTTATTTTTCGGTTGCTTGGTTGAGTAAAAAATGCCTTCATATTTCGGTATCCGATGCATTTTACTCACGGCGCCTTGTAATTTCAGATATGGCTGGTGCTGACGCGGTGTTGCAAGTATGAAGAGATCCACCGCATTCGCTAACCGTCCTTGTGTTCGAAGCAGTGGTGCCGTGTTAAAGCCAAAAGCATGTTGGACACAGATGAAGTAAGCATAATTTCTGTGATGAAGTTATTTTAAGGAATGATAATAGGGCTTCACAGATAATAGGAATGATAAAAGGGCTTCACTTGATAATATTTGAAACTTCGCTCCCTTGAAAACAGTAATGAATAGGAATTCAGAACTTCAAGTGTTCTTCATTTCTTTTAATCTATGGTCAAATAGATAGAAGCACAAGTAGGATAGTCGGCGAGAATGACGAAACGATGTGCTTTTTCTTTCACGTTTCCATATTCTCCCTCACGTACAAATGGGCTTCACGTTTCCGAAACATTTGGCCGGATCAGAGCTGTAAAATATGTTCTATTAAGTGAAATAAACTATTTCTGAACAAAATGAAGGCTTGCAAAAGTAGTAATTCAAATTAACTTCAATTCAAGAACCTTTTCAAATCACATGATTTTTATGTCAACGTATTTTTTTAGGTCTACATTGAATTCTAAATTTAGACATGTATGAAAATTTAGACCTGAATTTACTAGCCGAGAAATGTATGAATTGAAATAACAATAATCATGTGAAAACCTCCACTCTTAATCTGATAATGAAAATAAAATATTATATAACTTTGCTATCCATCTATTTTAGAGGTACCGTAACCAACTAAACCAATTTTACAAAGACACTGCTTAAAAGTTGATAATGAAATCTTTAATTCAATCAAAAGATTTTACTCACATTTTACTCACGGTGCCTTGTAATTTCAGATATGGCTGGTGCTGACGCGGAGTTGCAAGTATGAAGATTGAAGAGATCCAGCGCATTCGATACCTTGAGTACTCCGCGGCCGTCCGCCGGTCCGCGCTCGTCCGACTTCCTCCGGCGTCCGCCCTCGCCACTCAGAGCTCACCTGGTAAAGATATGAAAGCCATTGGCATATATTGCTGTTTGCATACGACAAATAGAGGTAAATGTATCTGTTGATGCAAATAGCTGAAATAGAAACGAACTATCTTAAATTTAACTTTCATTGTCATTGGTTTAAGTCGCCAAGATCGAAAGATGGACGTTCTTTGTTACTAAACGCTTTAACAAGTTTAAGGTCTCCTTTTTCCTGCCTTTTTAATCATTATTTCAATTTTAATTGTTGGATCGAAATTAGACCGTAGGTGGATCGAAATTTAATATATGAACCGTAGAAAATAGAATTCCATCCTGCCCGGAGCGCCATAAGTACCTCCCTTGTCAGAATTCCACCATGCTTATAGGACTCAAAAATGAACTTGAGGGAGAGTCTAAAAAACTCTCTGCTTTGCCACTATGACAGAACTTATGTTACGCATACGTTTTTTTTAATAGTTTTTCATTTCTCGATGCGTCCTTAATGTGTCGGAATATACCGCGTTTACCCTACTAAAAAACTTTTGCTTCAATAAAATAAATTTCTGAATTCTGAGTGCAGACTACTGGCCAGGGGAAATCTATCAAATTAATGTTTGGTAGAAAAGATTTTACAGAGTCGTATTGCAGACAGTTGTTATTAGTACACTTCTACAAATAAACAAAATTAGTCATGATAAAATTACTCACTAATCTTGCTTTGTCTATGTGTCACATCGTTGTTTATTGCAGTAACAGAGATCGACGCTTCACTAACCGCCAAATTTCTGAATAACCCGGAACGCGCCTGTCCGCATATGCCACACTCAGGAAGATGTATATAAACGGGGAAATTTCTCGCGTATATATAGTTTTTTATATTATCTTCGCACACGCATTCGCGTAAATCATGGTCATCGATTCCACACGGCGTAGCACTCGGCGCAGGCCGCGGAGCCGTCCGACACAGTTCTGATTTAGACACAATGGAATGACATCTGAATGGAATGGCAACATCGTCTGTAGATTTCAAGTAATGCTGAACGATCTTCGACTTCGAGTGTGATGTGTCCCTCTGAAGCTATTCTCATAGTGACTTCATGTTTTCGTCGGCGAGAAAATACGCTCTCTAATATTACACTTTGTAACCGTCTGTCTGTCCGTCCGTCTGTGCGTCTGTTCGTCCGTCTGTCATTGGGATCGAAGCGCTCGCTGCCAGCCGCAGATAGTTTGTAGCGCATATTGCATGGTTGCCAAAGGCACTCTTATGGAGTTTCTTTCTGTTAATTATTACTTGCTTTTTCGGATCTCCTGTAAATGATTTAACATGTACATATGAGCAGAGTGATACTAGCAATGGTAATAAGTTATAATGGTTATTTTTTATTACTGCAATTGATCCAGTTCATGACCATTTCTTATGAATTAAGTCCATAGGAAGTCCATTGCAAATTTTTTGGTTTGGATATCCAGTAGGCGTATAAGAAAGGTTGGAGCGCTACTATTCTTTTGACTTACCATACCAGGCGTAGCCGCGTACCGCACGGTAGCGGCGACCAGCTGCAGCACGCAGCCCGCCCGCAGTTGTGGAGTAGAATTCGTGGGGGAAGGTGTAGTGACCTTGACACTCCAATTATGACAGAGCGCTCCAATTTCCCAAAAGCTCATGTTCTTTTATTTATACTATGGAATGCCACCATGCCTGTCCGCATATGCGGATACTAAAAAAAATTAAAACTAATAATGATGCTAATGCTGGGATTTATTCCAGCACAAGCCTCGCACCCACCCCTGGTGGAGTACCCCAATTGGACCGGCTGAAGTGCTTCTCCTATTAACGGAGACAATGGCCATGCTCCAACCTTGGTAGCCAAGCAACGCAAGGTGCTCCCAACCGCTATGGGGCGGATACCCCCATCTTTTTTTTTTGTATGGCGCACAGAGTGGCTCCATAGAACACCGGTCTCGCAAACTCAGGAACCCGCCCTCCAATCACCAGGATTGGAGTGGAGCAAACTCCAACAATTGTGGCCAGCTCATGCCTCAAAATGCTGAAAGTGTTCGGTGACAGGACCTTGGATCGTAATATTGTTTACCAATATTTACTCGCAGGTGAACAATGGTCATGTGAACAATTCAAGCAGTCAGCAGTGAAATCGACAACGAAGCAGCATCAAGCAAAATCGACAAGGAAATTGACAACTTGATAATCGCATAATCATAATAAAATATCCCTTTGGAAATTTTATCTTCAAATAAGAATATCATTGTCTAATATGCCGAATTGAGAAAGATAATAAGAAAATTGTTGATAATAAATACTCTCATGTCTTCGACAAAACGTGCAACTACTTCTGACCAACTATACTAATTTTTAATCTATACATCCCACGTCAAGTTGAAGCTTACGGGATTTCCGGTTAATTTTGTGTACTCAGTGATTCAAAATTCCTTATACATTTTTTGCTAAACAAATAGGGCAGCCATCTTTTTATATTATGTTCCCATGCAGAAGCACAATTAAAAACATTGTGTTTGTGAAACATTAATTTATATTCACTCAAACACAAAATTGATTCATATCCTACCTGATATTTCTTACAAAGAATTTCAACCTTCGTAATTACATAGGATTTGTGTAATGGTCGGTACGAGTAGAAATAATGGGACAAAAGAGTGAGGTGAGAGCAGCCAGCCTTGTGAAGGCCGCGACGCCTTGCGCCATCCAACCGCCTGACCAGAGGCCTGCAGCCTTCTGCCTTCTTGGGTAGTGGGAGAGATAGTGATGTGGCATGATGGTGATGTGGCGTGATGATGATGTGGCGTGAGGGTGATGTGGCGACCATTGCCACATCTTGTCAACAGAGCAAAGTTCATACTTCATAGGCATACGAAATCTAGTGTCCAAACCTTTGGTCAACCCTCAGACAGATTTCAAACTGTTCATTTAGACCTTGTTGGTTCCTTGCCTTTAGTGGTGCCACAGAATGAAAATTATACTAGTCCATACCAATATTTACTCTCGTGTATTGATAGAGCGACTAGATGGGTAGAAGCTATTAATATTGTTGACATTACTGCTGCATCTGTTGCCATTGCTTTCTTTGAAATATGGATTTCTTGCTTTGGAGTGCCATTAATGTCGTCACAGATAGAGGTACGGTACTCAATTTGAATCTGAACTATTTTCTGAACTTTCCGCATTGGTAGGATTCCTGCGACTACGTACCACAGCTTATCATCTGCAATCAAATGGTATGGTAGAACGTGTGCATAGAACTATCAAAACCGCTATCACAGTCTGCAAACAAAATTGGTTTTATGCTTTGCCTATTATACTTCTAAGTATTAAAAATTTGCCAAATGAGTCTGGATTTTTTCCCGCTGTTGCCATTACTGGAACTTTGTTACTGTTACCTCATCCTCTAATAACCAATAATAATTCAATGTTTAATAGTGACTCTGTTTGTAATTTAGCTGCAGAAATGTCATAAATTGATTTTTACCAAATGTCTGACTGGAAAATCCATTCAAATCCAAAATCCTACATCCCATCCGAGCTGAATCACTGCAGTCATGTATGAGTACGCGTTGACAGAGTGCAACATCCCTTGGAAGCACCGTACACAGGTCCCTTCAAGGTTCTGCAAAGGCATCCAAAATTGTTCATAATACAAACCCTGACCTTAATGGAACAAGCTATATCCATTGACAGGTTGAAACTGGCACACATGCCTTGTCAACCAAAACCTCCAGTTGTTGATCCAGAAGTACTGGCCAAAGAGGTTACTCCTGCCAGCGAAATGCTGCCAGAGAACTCTTCAAAATGCTCATCTTGAACTGGACGTAGAATAAAATTCAATAAGGTAGAGGATTTCATATACTACAGTACTAACTCGAGGTTCCACCTTTGGGTGGGGAAGCCATGTAGCAACATCCTGCCTGACTTCTTGAATCCATCCATCTAAGAAACAGTTCATTCTTGTGTTGACATTATCATAGCCGTTTTGCTCCTTGTTGGTTCATCACCAGCCCTGTACTAGTAAACAATAAACTTGCCTCGCACCTTGCTCCAGCCTCTCCCTAGCCTCTGAGTTTTGGTATATAGTCAAATGGGGTAAGACAGGATTGCAGCCTTCATGGGGTAAGAAAGGACAGGCCCATGGCATGCATTCTAATTGCACTGAATTCAATTTGACAAAAGAATATGTTAGAGCAATGATTGTCAGTCATTTCATTGTTTGTTTCAACCCTGTTCTGCAAATAATGAATTTTTGGTTGATTTTTGAAGAAATCCTATGTAAAGAAGGGTCACAAAATAGTTAACCCTATTTGGGAAATAAGCTCTGTCTGATTACAAAAAATTTTTTGGCCAAGTTTGTGGATGTAGGCAAGTAACCTCAAGTAACAAGCAACTTTTGAGACATAATAGGCATTCCTACCTGCTATCATCACTGCCTGATAACTGTTCTAAAATTGGGTAAAAAAGGACCGGACATGGGGTATGACGGGACCACTAAATGATCCTGTTTTACCCCACAAGTGGTCCTATCTTACCCCACAAATGGTCCTGTCTTACTCCACAAATGGTCCTCTCTTACCCCATAGTTTATCAAAAATAGCTTTTAAATGAATATATTATTGTGCATAAGTATACATATAGTATTTACATCTCTTGCTTAAAATAACCATTCTAACTTGTTAGCTTCTTCAATTAGATAAATTTAGCATAGGTAGTATTGTGAATTGCATCATGGGATGTCTCTTCCCATTAGTGAACTGCAGAACAATGTGCAAGAGTGGTTGGGGGAAATCATTGTGTGAAACATAAAAAAATAATTATTATCACAATTTTGTGAGAGGGCATGGGCTATGTTTGAAGAAGTGCACCACAAATGCTGTTAGCAAGAAAACACATGACACCTGACTCTTAAGTTATTATCCATTGATTTTATTACCAATTTGATAAATTTTCAGACAATGACACTAATGGAATATGGTATAAATGTAGCATTTAGCAGTGCTCTACAATGAATCAAAGTCAACCTACTATTTCTATGCTTAACAAAGTTTTCTCATGGCAAAAACTCCAACGTGACTGATATTAGAGTTGTCTTCCTGCAACACAAAACAGTAACAAGTGGTTGTTTAATCAAATAATGTGTTTCTAGATGGATATTATTGAATATCAGATTTATATTTTTACTAAAAACCTCAGCTCAATCTTTACAAGTTTTAGTATTCAGTGCGGAATGTGCTGTATGCAATGGTGTTAATCCATACATATAACTGACAGCTCAATTGAATTTGGTCCTTTCATCTTTGGAAATGAACAAAAGAATCTCATATTATCACTGTCATTTTTTTTTTCATATAAAAAATTTTGCTTGTTTGCTTGCTTGGCTGCGATTTGCACATGTTGCCTGAAAGTGCCAAAGAAAAGTTTTTTTTATAGTATTAAGCCTTGAACAAAACATACCTATATGCCAAAAATATTGGTGAAAGTAAAGCAGTTTCTTGAGAAGTTGAGAATGTGATCTTAATTCCAGGGCACTGCAATAATTAAAATTATTACACAATTAAGGAATTGCTTGTCATTAACACTGTAAATGCTTTTTTATTCATCAACACATGGAAGTACAAGATGGCTGTGAGCAGTTCCAATGACCAACTCAGCAACTCTTGGTAGGACACTTTCTTGATGAAATTCAAGGGAGAAGAAAAATTGTAGTAATTTTGTTATTCCATTGATATTTACATGAAAATTTCCTAGCTTTAAGTGAAATGTGTCAATTTTGATATTAATTTAGTTCTTTGTACATACCTAGTAAAAACTAAAAACAATTAGGGTAAACGCACCATATTCCGACATCATGGGTAATTCCAACACTTCTCAACTTTTTCCTTCATATTAAGCTTTGTCTTAGTTCCACACATGCATAGACGGTTGAAATAGTGTTGTCATACTATTGCCTGCCAGATTCCCGCAAAACACTGGGTCTGGCAGGAAAATGTTAAGATCCTCAGAGCAAAAGGGCGGGAAAGTCCAAGTCATCTAGTGAGAACATCATAACATGTGTCAAAGTTGATAGTTAACCTTGCTCTACCAAATAGTGATAAACTGTTTGTGTAGAAAGAATATTATGGTGTTGGACGTTTAAATAAGTCTGTGAATATATTTGGAATCCTTCAAGTATACTTGTACCTATTTGCTGATTTTAAGTGGAAAATAAATTAATAGATGATCAAGTTAAGAGACGGTTTTAGACACATAAAAACTATTTCCAACTCGGCCTGGAATTGGACACACACAGCTCCTTCCAAGCTGTGTTAAAAAATTAAAATTTTATTAATAGAAAGCTTAATAGCTCTTAATTAAAAGCTAAAATAAAAAAGTAAAATTTTTTAATTAAGCTCATTCCAAGCTGTGTTGTATTCCAATACAGCTCACACAGGGCGTTGGAATTCCAACACAGGGCATCGGAATTACGAATTAGTAAGAGTTTGAAGCGCTGTTGGAATTAGTCTCACAATATGCCAAATTTAGTCACACACAGTGTCAGAATTCAGGGATTTTGTAGATTTGAATTCTAAAACCTTTTAAATGAATATGGCAACAGTTTGTGACATTTCATTGTTGCTGGCGCGTAGTGTGGTGTTTTGAGAGTGACATAAAGCAATCAGAACTTGAGTTGTGCACACTGTGATCTTTTTATAGCCATTCATTTCTTGGTACATCCTTAATGTGTCGGAATATGGTGTGTTTACCCTATAAAATTGCCTATTTTATAATACAGAAAGCAGCTACAAAAATGGATATTTGTATTTATTTACCTATATCCCTCTTCACAGGCTCACCCAGATCGCCATACTTGTATAGGTAATTGAATAAGAGGAAATATGATTGGTCACTCATTGGCCTAGCTAAGACAATGAAGCATAAAACACTAAAGTGGTGGGTTTTTATGGAAGAAATTTATTTAACTGCCAAAGGGCTAATATTATTTTCTTATTTTTATCTCTTAGTTCCAAGAATTAATATCTCATTGCTATTTGATAGTTCCATTTTCCTCATATTTCAACAGGAAGGATTGCTGGGCTTCACAATGTTGGCTGAAAGTTGCTGCATGCTAACTAGACCTCAAGATGGTTTCCACAAGAGGCATTAAATCCAGATTTTGTGAAGGCGAGCGTGTGCTCTGTTATGAGCCAGATCCAACTAAAGCCAAAGTGCTCTATGAGTCAAAAGTTTTACAAACAGTTTACAAGCAAGATAACCGGGGCAAGAAACAAATTGAATATCTCATCCATTTCCAGGTTTGTTATCAAAGATAATTTTGTTAGATAGCAACCTTATATTTAAACCATGCTAATTACAATCAATGGAATTGTTTCATTTAAACATTTTCACTAATCATGGTTATAAAATTTCTTGATGGGTATTTTTTTAATTTGATAGAACCCTTCTATTAATTGAAGGTAATTTATATATATGTTGAGCAGATCTAGTTAATCTATTTTACCCAGTTTAACAATAGTAGTCTCTTACGTCAAGGTACAAAGGGGGCTTCAAAAATAGTAATCATAGAAGAAGGGCAGTTCTGAACAGTCCAAGTCATAACTTTTATTTTCCAATAGTATATGCTCCATCAATGTCAATACATTCCTGCAAATCCTGGTACCAGTTTCAAGTCCCATCTTTGTCCTGCAATTTGAACCTGTCATGACAGCACTTTATGCTTATTCAACTGGTGGAAACACAGTACGGTACCTTTCAATAACTTTCTCATGTTTTGAAGTAAAAATATATTGCTTAGAAGTAAATTGGGGCTAGAAGGTGGATGTAAAAAATTATTTTCCATCAAAATTTGCATGGCAGAGCTATTGTCTGCCAAACATCATGCATGGATGCATAGTTGTGGTGCAAATGAATGCATTGATGCAGCTTCCCAGGGCATTTTTTTGAAATTTTCTCAAAATCTATTTGTGATAAATAGCTGGAAAGAAAATCAACTAAAAAGATCCCCATTGCCCTTAAGATCTCCTCTGACAACAACTTTTTCTTATATACAGTTAAGTCATTTTTCCATGAACTTTTTGAAGCCCTTGTATTTGCGATAGCTTTCAGCTTCATGGCGATCCTTTGTAATGTTAAATACCATGCAGGTAGCTTTTTTTGTTGGGGTACATGCCTATTACTACACAGTTTGTGCAACAAGTTTCCTTTCAGGGCTGGAATGCATCTTGGGACCGATGTGTTGACGAAGATCTTGTGCTCAAAGATACTGAGGAAAACAGAGAGTTGCAGAGGCGTCTGATGGAAGAAGCCCAAATCAAGTTGTGAGAAACACTTTACAAACGTCCAAAAATAACTCTTGATTTCTTGATTGCTTTTTCATGGTCAGAACCACATATTGAAACACTTTTTCTGCTTTACATTGCTTAAGTTGAAGAAAAGGGTGTACCTATACAAGTTATTGTGAAATTTTAGTAATTGTGAATTCTTTATGAAGATTCAATTGTAAATATACAATATAAACGATTTACAAGTTTATTAGCTAATGCAGAAGTGAAAAACTTAATTTTTGCAGAAGTGAAAAACTTAGTTTTTCATACAGATTGGCCCAATTATATTTTTTCTATTGGCTTGAGGCATCAGTCCAGTATCTTTACTGACTAGTATGTAGTTAATGTTATCAGCATTTGATAATTCACTTGTCTTGTTCACAGGAAAGAGAAGAAGAAAAAGCGACGACTTTCTGACACTATCCGTGAGATTGTACAGGAGAGGCACAGGAAAGAACGAACAGGCTCGGATGCTGGCTCGCAGGTATTTTCTGATCCAAACAATGCCTTGCTACCCTTCTCTTGCCAGGTACACTGTTAATTGGTTCAATCATACTTTTCCTCATTTGTAAACCATGCTATTGCTTTCAATATTAACAAATATTCAATATGTAGTTCACAATTAAATTTCCATGCTGAGGAATTCATGTTCCTTTTGGAGCATAATTTTCACTCAACTTTAGGCAGCTCAAGTGTTGTTGAACGAGTTTGATTCTCCCAACTTTCTAACTCTAAGGTACTTATTATTGTGTTGGTATTCTTGTCTTGGGCTACATGGTTAATGGACTTTAGCCTCTTTTATTAGTCAATTGTTTTACCAGATGTGGCAGCCATTCCATGTATTGGCTGAATTGAATTTTTTTCTGAGGCTCCATGTAGCATAAATGCTGATGAATTCTTGTAAAATTTATATACCGTGCCATGCGTTGCATTAGAAACTTTCCAACACTGGATAAATTGAGTTTTATTTTCAGCTGGATATAATCAGTGAAAAGTGCTCAATGTCATTTGTTAGAGCACAGAAATGTTTCTGACACGCAGGTTTATTTGGATGGTAATCTGATATTATTGGGTAAAGTGGCATTGAAATCACACATTTCCTCAGTTGGGCGCCACGGACGATGATGACCAGGGCTCACTCACCTCCGATGCTGACAGTTCGGTGGCTTTAAGCAGTCGAAACAACAATGGCCGTGATGGTTGGCATTTCTTCTTCCCAGATCTCAATGATAACGTTATAAAATCACCAGCTACATGTATATAAATAATTTAAAATTTTATATATGTAATTTGGTACTTCTGAATTATTTATTAAAATGCATGTTTTGTTTCAAATGGAGAGGTTTGAACATTTTCTCATATAAAACTCAAATGTTGCTACTTTAAATATGTCGTACGACTTTGTTCTCTTTATTACAGCAGTAAAGCTGATCTTCATTGTCATCTTAAATGATAAGTCACAAATGTGTGAACTAAATCGAGTTTTATTAGTTAGTAGTTATATTGTACTTCTAGCTTTAGTTGTGAGGAACTTTCTGCTCTGAATGCATTTATAACCAATGGAAGAGAAAGCACATTGTGCATCTAGATAATCAAATGCATAATATTGTATTTTAATTCGATTTTTGTGTCAAATGCTTGGTAACAATAAACAAAGATAGTTTCAGTTACTTGTGTTGTCATGAACACATATTGCTTATGCTTATGCAGTTACAAGTGATGCTTCTGCAGGAGCAGCAACAGTGGAAGGCTGGGGCGAAGCCCCTCGACAGACAGCCGTGTCTTCAGACTCTAAGGAAGCTGACTACCTCAAGGAGTTCCCACTAGAAATTCCTGCAGTGCTGAAATCGGTACTTGAGCGAGATCACTTCTTCATCAAGGAAAAGAATAAGGTGCAAGTTATGGTTGCTATTTTTGAGAAAAAATTTCCCTCTCTAAGTACCCCAATTTATATTTGGCTTCAACAAACAGCAATTGTAAAACTTATTCGGCCGTCTTATTGATTTCTTCGAGCCAAATCTTACTCATTCAGTTTTCACTCACCTACTATGATTGTAAATATTTTTAGTTATTTATTTTTTTAGATCTAGTGGCACTAATTGAATCGCAGTCTTAAAAATTATGGGCATTTTGTTACCCTTTTGTGATTTGTTCCTCAGAAAGGATGCCTGAATTTTATCCATAATGAAATAATGTGATGTTATCCTGTCAGTTGGTGCAGCTGCCATGTCCCCCGGCAGCGCTGACGGTGCTTGAGAGCTACGTGGTGTTCTTCGCGTCACGGTACCTCGCGCGGACCAGCGAGCGCCGCCGCAGCGAAACACGGCTCAAGGATAAGGCTTACCTCACGTAATGCTGCTCATGCATCCTCATTTGTACGATGTTTTGCATATTGCTGTAATAAAACGGAATAGCTACTGGACGCTTGATTGTGATGTCGTAAGAGCGCGCCTCCGTTGAATCATTCAGTGTGAAGAATTGAAGCTGCTTGATATATTTTGCACCAAGTGATGTTTTCCTTGCATTGATGTGTGGCAGCTGATCGCAACGACATTCAAATTTCATTAATTTAGCTCATATACTTTCGCTATTAATATATGAACCCAATGAGTTCTTTTACTTGAAATACTAATGTATTGAACCAATTCACCCTGTTACTTCTTCCTCGATAACCCTTATCAGCCGCATTGCCATGTATCGCCTGCACTGACCTGTACGCGCTGCAGGCTCGGCCTGTGCAAGGAGGTGATGGACGGCCTGCGCGTGCTCTTTGACTTCCACCTGAAGAGTCACCTCCTCTACACTGAAGAGGCCCACCAGGCCGCCTCCCTCGCCTCGTCTCAGCCTCCGCCCTACCTTCTCAAGTCCTCACTTGCTGCCTCACCACCGTGGGTGGTCGTCTCTAAATTATATTTTAGAACGCATTCAGTCAACTCTGAATTACAAATTGTCTTACGGATATGAAATTGTATTGGGATATTTTGTACATCTTTGAATAGTATAAATGTCACTGACAATTCATCAAATCTGAAGCGGATATTTAGGAAAATTTATTTAACCATCCGTTTCTCTAAAACTCGCAGTCAAGGGGGTTTTATGTTCTTGGGCGGTGCTCATTCATTTTTCTTCGATGAAAATTTAAGGTGGTCATCCTGAAACCTTCTTGCTCATTAAGCACACTTCAAATTTGCTTAAATTTCCGTACAAATTTTGGATCGGCTAGTGACGTTTTCATCAGTAGACTTTTGAGTTAGTGGTAAATGCTTTAGAATTGTTTTGATATTAACCCGAGTTTTCTCCCATGTGCATACCACAGTAAGACTAATCTTAGATGGATTTGAATCTCTGATGACCAAAAATTTTGCAATTATTCTTAAAAGTAAAACTTCAAGCGATGATGCTCGTCTGACCCAGATCGAATTATTTTGATTTCCATAATTCTGATTGAATTACTTGCCATTACTAGCTTTGGTACCAATTTCGCGTAACGGATTGTGGTAGTTATTTCAAGACACTAGGTACCGCGTTCTGTAGGGCTCTGAGATGTCATGTCAAGTGCTTGATAATGATGGCAGGCATGATGCTTGAGTCGTGAATAGTCGTGGCTATCCTAAATACCTGTACACATTGTCAGATAATTAACTTGGTTGTGCTACAACTATTGTAGCGCAGGGCATTATATAATAATTTTTTTTGTGTTCATTGCAATCATTGAATTTCTGATTGTGAATTGCATTGCTCTGCTGCTTCTTCTGAATGTCACACTCCAATAGTTTCCCTTTCAGCAGATCGACTGATGAGAGCAGTGCCAAGGAGGAGATAAAAGCAAAACTGCCCGATGACAAATCTCGTAAGACAATTTCGGAATTATTCATAGTTTGCTATAGGGGGTTTCATGATTCCAATTAAGCCTTGACAAACAGATGGAGTGTATATCAGAAATACCGGTAGTTTTGACTAGCTAGGGTACTCCAACCTACCAATTTACATCAAAACACTATTTAAATGTCATCAAATATCATTCCTCTCATTTAAATGTCATACGTCTCCTTGTGCCACTTAAAGTTTTCGATTATATTCGCGGGCTGTCGTCATGCACGTGATTCCTTGTAACAATCGCATGTGACCTCTACACTGTCTTATTTATTGTCAAGTTTCTTGACGATCATCTCATGACTAATATGAGTAATGTCTGAGTGGATGCATCAGCCGGCAATTCCCGTCGTTCACAGTCTTGCTAATCGCGAACAATCCAATCTCTTGTCACCTCGATTGCAATAAAACTGTAGATCTCCGTTCTACATTTTCAGAAACCATCACCATTGTGGCTAATAAGTGTTAGAATGTGGTAATTTTTTTACGACCGTTTTTGTAACAGCTTCAAATAGTTATTGAAAAGTGTATGTTGCTGCTGTGTTAATATTGACATTTGTGATGTTCAGTAATAGTACACTCATAAGAACACATATCCCACAACAAGTGTAGTAGAAACTGGTGACAGTCGGCCTACAGGTTCCTGTTCCTATGAGGTACCATTTTTCTCCTAACCAGATGACCCCGGCGGCCGGCGTCTCACGCGCTCCAGTGGCGGCCGCGCCACCGTAGCGTCCGCTGAGGCCCCAGTGCCGTCACCCTACACATGGTGCGACCATTTACCTCTTGTTCAGTGTTTCTATTTATTCCAGTCTCGGCATTTTAATTGAGCAACCACTTCTATCGTCCTATATCAAGTTGATAATTGTCGAAAAGGTTGCATCTTCATTTTGTATTTATTCAAGTGCCATTTCTAATTAAATCTATTTTTATCCGGATAAGTACAGGAATTATCATAATTCCTATCAATGTCATACACGCCTTCATTATCTCATGGTGTTCAATTCATTCGGATCTTGAATACAATGCGAGTAGGGATTCTGGTGTCGGGCCCCGACGCTCGAACTGGTCTCGGTTTTCAGGTTGTACACGTCGCTCGAGAACAGAAGCGTGACGTGAGTCAGTTAACAGTAGTAAATAAATTTATCTTTTTTATTTTTTTCCACAGTGACTCAGGACGGAGCACTCCTGTGACGACGAGCAGCAGCAGCGGCGTTGCTCAGCAACAACAGCAGCAAGCAACTGCAGGTCAGTTTTTCAGCGGCCAAGTAATGTGACCTTCCTCTTTTACTCATTTTATTTCGAGTAATTAACTCTAGAATGGGCGATTAATCGTTCGAAACTTTAGTATCTGATTTAGATTAGTTTGAAAAAGAATTTTCATCATTTGCTCATCTCCTGACCTAACAATGGCAGGGCTGACGACGAGCGGTAGTGTGGTGAGTAACAGCGTCGGTGCTTCGACCGCCACGTCGCTTTCCTCCCTGGGGCCGCTGTCGCATGACCTGCTGCAGTGGACGCTCCTCCCCTCCCAGCATCGTCATGCTGGTATCCCCATTCTCCTCTATGGGCCTCTGCACCTGCTCAGGCTCTTCGGTGAGGAGTGCTTTACTTTAAGCCTTTTTCTGACCGTGCGTCTCCAATATTTCATAGTTCAAATTGTTGTAGGCGACTTTTAACCCAGAAACAAAGACAAGATCTAAGACTTGTACGTTAATTTCAACAATTTCAGGCTCGTGCTCATCTGTGAAAATCGTACATATTTTGATTTTCCCGGTGTAGTGTTGGTGAGATACCATACAATATATTGGGTTACAATAGCACCACATGTGAAGTTAAATTCAAATTCTATTGCTGTTCTTACAGTGAAGTTGCCGGAAATCGTGTACAGGATGAACTTGTCACCGGAGAAGCGGAAGATCGTGTTGAAGCATCTGCAGCTGTTCTTGGAGTGAGTAAAAGTTGCATCTTTTTTTTTAGCCGTTAGCTTAGTGCCAATAATTTCGCGACTACACTGCAGCTGTGCCATGTCTTTACCATGCTGCTTGTTCTCTGAGTTCTTTTTACCATGCAACCATTTACAGTAGGTAGTTAGAGTTTATATTATGTAATATTATAATATAATTTAGAAAATCGCATTGCTGTTGTTTCCAATTGAAGCCCACGTGATTTGGTGTGTGATTTTCATTTTTGGATTCCATTGTATGTAATGATTATAATACAATATGATCTCGACAATAACTGAAGTTCTGTGTCATCATCGCATTTTAGCGGTGATTCATACTAATATGATGATAGCTATCGTCTCCTTGCGAAGGTGCGCTCACGCTGCTCTTTATTTGCAGGTATTTAGAAGTGCACAGCCAGGAGTTCTTCTCAGAAGCCCTCTACATAAACAACGCTGCCGAAAAGTGTTGAAAAGATGAGATGATTTATCTTAGCTGGCTGTGAGAGTAGTTAAAATTTGAAGGCTGCGAGCCCCCAACAGTATTTGAAACACCGGACGTTGGTGATATTTTTCGACGATTTTATGTAGAAGTTTTTTTTTTACATTCATCTATTGCGTTCCTTTTCAACTATACTGTTGCTTACTTGAGCCACATTTTCTACTGGCTTCTTCCACGTCCACATCCATATTAAGTATTGCCCAGAGTAGGGAGTGCGGCCTCGCTGGCCACAGTCTCTGCCATGCGCTTATTAACAGGGCTATGTTGCTCTCGATTGCCTGTATTATTTAATAACTATGATTTATAAGTGTTTGTGTGACCCACGTCGTACCTGAAATAAAATATAGATTTCTGTCTTGTCGCTCTTCCAGAAAAAATCAGTGCTTGTATTAATTACATGTTTTTTTATTGTGTACATACATATATAAATAGTCAATATAAATATCACTTCGGACCGGCAATAAACGTTTCACTCTGAATATTCTCGCCTTGGAGTAATGTTTGAATGATTTCGAAACGTTAACGAAGTTCCCTGGAACCATTGCCTTTCTGGGTCTGGATTTCTCCGACTGCATTTGCTCATGAAGGCTAATTATGTGAGGGCGCAACAACGACTTAGAGTTCAATTGTTAATTTGAACATAGACAAGGTAATGCGCGACAAGACTGTTGAAATGCAAATATTCTAATGATCATGTTATATATTAGAGAGCGTCATTTCACTCGTTTCTCGTGTTATCGTCGACTGGAATCGACAATCGTTGTATCCGACAACGCCGTTGAGAAGTGATGCCATAGGTCCAATAAAATGCTCGTCTCGAATGAAATGTGACTTTACTGCCCATGATGACCCCACTAAACCCCTTGTTTGAAGCCAACTGATTCTTTGCAGAGCGTTGATTTAGAAATATTTTGCGGTTGAGAGGCAAGCGGCACTTTACTTTATGTACAGTCGGACGGTAATGGAGTTATTTATGTACAACACGTTTGCTGTCACTCGAGGCAATTTGTGTAGCTTGATTCTCGAACAAAAAATGAACATTGTTCCATACATCCCTGCAACAGAAGCAGAAGCGCTCCATTAACTCAAAGGAAACCTTATTGATAACTACCGTGTAACGTTTATCATTGCTCGTATTCTCTTATATTAACCAGCGCAGAAAAATATCAAGCTAAGATCAATTGCTTTAGCAAACATGAGAAATTCGCGGCAGGAACTTGTCGAGTTCATGTTGTAATTGCACACATTGAGCAAAACGAGACGTTCGCTCCTAAGGAAATTACCTTAGAAGCAAATATCTCCTGCGTGATCAATTTTTTGGTCATTTAAAGTTTAAACTATGAGCGTAATAAATCTACCAGTATCCTATCACAATCATACAGGTTTTGCCAACATATTGATTCCTCGAAGATGAAGATATGCTACATCAATAATATTGACAAAACAAGATTAATTCATTAAGTATGCGAGCGACCATTAGTAAAAAATTCTCAAACTTATGATTTGTTCAGATAGGGAATCATAATGACCAGAGCTGGTTAAAATTAGCAAACAATTGCATAGGCTAATGTACACAAAATAAATCTGGCCATGTACGTGAAAGACGCCGCAATATATGAAAGTTGGAAAATCTATCGACCTGCACAAAAAGATATATCGACGTTCAGCATCAGCTAGAGTATGTTATAGGAGTGAAATGAAATTTTTCATCTGATCCCACAAATACGTTAACATGTGAACTGGCGAGAATCGAGGAAAATTGGGTCACTATCCATTCCTCTAGAGCTCAAGATTAGAGTTAGGGGAAACTGTAGAGGAACCGGTTCATAATGGTCTACTAGAAATTACGTAGCAAACGTGCTCCAAGAATTTGGGAGTTCTAATTGCACGAATCGAGACAATCAACGACAAGAGAGCCAGCATCGTTGAAATACAAGACCAACTAAGAGATTACTTCCACTCCGTAACAAGATTGCTCAGTGGTGCGAACAGCATGATTCGTCTTTTAGTGAGGAACAGAAGATATTCACAGGGTAAGCATGGTTATCCAGACCAAAACAAAAAAGTTGGACGGGAAAATCTTACCGGCTTATCCTTCTACAGTTATTCCTTACATTTTACTCTGATTGTTAACATTACCCTTATATAAAGCAAAAAATTTTATTTACAACATACACATGTAAGGAGCTTGAAAATCCCCCCTTTCCAAAGCACTGAACTCCACCGCGGACGCGAATTGTAGAACTCGAGGTGAGATTCCAGCCAGTAATTGGTCAAGTAATTTAAAATAAACCAAGTACCTCATGAATCTAGAAGTTATTAGCAGAGGAACACCTCGTGACTGAAAATGAAATGCCCGAGCACAAACAGCAGATATACCTAGTGGGCCATAAAATATTAAGTAAACTAAAAAGACAACAACCTTCTCTTTATGATACTAAGATAACCACAAATCATCCAAGATACAAGGCGATGCCAAAGAGAAGACCATAGAAGAATCTTATTAAAACGATTCGTCCGGTAGGTGAAACTTGAGTAAAAAAAGCTACCGTGCATCATTTATCGATAACTACAAGATCTTGTGTTTACATGAGACTCCCAATAGTGAGATCCTCTCTTTAAAAAATCAGGCTGAGAATAGAAGACAAAATCACAGACCAGAGAAACATCGCCTGACGTCAGAGAAGAGTTGCAAACAATTATAACTTATCACCTGTTGCTGTTGTTAAAAAATACATTCTTTAACCTCACGAAACTGAGCCAGATAGTTTACGGGAACATTTCTACACGAGACTCGCTACTCATTAACATCTAAAGATCACTACGCCTCCTGCGCTGCTGGATAAGGTGGATGAACGTCGTCTCAGCTGGAAGACTTCGCAGCGTTTTTAGCGGCAATCCAGGCTTCAATTTCATCTTTCAGCTTTGCATCTGAAACAGGATACGAGACGTTGGAGTGTGAAATAGTGTATCCTCACGCTGCTAACACTATTAGCAGCTTTCGATTTCGAACACTGTTAGCAGAACATAATAAGCTTTTGACTTTTAGGGCCTTTCAATTCATTTTATTGGGGCCATTAAATCCATAATTAGAAAAAATCCAAATGTACCGTTTGGTAATTTCTAGATTCATCTACTAACATGAGATATCTCGATCTCTAATTCTCACTTTAAAAAGTGCAAAATATTCAAGATATCTAAATTAATTCAGAGATTACAATAAAAAATTAATGGCCAAGCTCAGCCGATGGAACAGTCAGTGTTGCTCACTGACACGAGTTGCTTGTCTAGCTAATCTGCAGACTACGAGTTGATTATCTAGACTAAACACTGAACAAGGCAATAAATAATTTATGTCAAGGAAGTGCAGGAGTGCTGACCAGGCCTGAGGTCGTCCTCGGTGAGAGGCTGGCGCGTGAAGGGATCGGTGTTGTCGTTGAGCAAGTGTCGCATGATCACCGAGCGGTCCATGACGATGCCGGACGGCAGCGCTACAGGATCCGTCATCAGCGTCTGCATCAGAGGGTCTATCGAGAAAGGCAATTTCAGTAAGTTTCGTAATTAAATCTAATACACATTTGTGGATATTTCATTTATAGGTTTATCTGAGATATACAAGGTTTCCAGATGGTATAAACTAGAATAAAAATGAAACAAACCTCTAAACTATTCAATTTGTTTAGCTGAGTCGGACTGTAAAGTGAAAAGTGTTATTATCAACTACCGAGCCCTGAAACACAGCAAACTGAGTGATCCATGTTACCCTGCCAAAATAAATAGCACATACATAATACATAGTTATAAATCCTAGACAAAATACCGATGAAGATCTTGGTCGCCTTTTTCTTGTAAAAGCCTCACCCACGACAAGAAGCTATGATACTAAATGTGCACTACTCTGTTGTGCATTGTTCAGCAACGAGCGTTTTGCAGACGACAACAAAAAACAATACCGAGTGTGGCCACTCACCCATGAAGTTATCAGGAGCGTCGCTGTAGTCTTCATCCTCCTGCAGTTTCTGCAAGAGGATGTCGGTTGCCTTCTGCCCGAGTGCGCGGAATTGCATCATCTCGTCAACGGTTTTAATGCCTGCTTTGTCGAGGCGCTTGAGTGTGAGCTCGAAGAGGTCTTTGCTGAAGGAGCGCTCGTCGTTGGCGAGTGTGCGGGCGAACTCAGGCGAGTCCAGGTGAAGGTAAACGTCAACAATGAGACCCAACATCTTCTTTGGGTCCCAACCATACTTTTCGGGGTTACGTACTTTCAAATCGCGACCTGAATAAACGAAAAATCCTCAAACATTTAAGGGGATAATGCGATTTAAATTTATTTATTGTATATGTATATATGTGAAATCTGAAAATACGGATTGACTAATTTGAAAAAAAAAATTTCGTTCCAAATCAGTCCTTCTAAGATGCGTGGTGGTAAAATAAAAATTATTTACAAGGCACATGGGCAGTTGACTAACACTTTTGTCCAGCGAGCTGCGTGAGATTGTAGTCGAGCATGGCGGCCAGTCTGTCGCCGAGCTCAGGGCGAACGAAAGGCTTGGGGATCTCTTTGGTGAGATGGTGCATCATCTCGAGCGTCTCGCGCGTCAGCGTCAGGTACCATCTGCAATAAAGGAATAACGTACAACAAAGGTATAATATACAACTAATGTACCATTGTACCACTTGTATCAAAGGTATTATCTTAATGTACCATCTGCAACAAAGGTATTATCTGTAACTAATGTAACATCTACACTACAACAAACCCGGGCAACTCTGTGAGCAGAGCTAAACTTCAGTGATGTGTCAATAGTGACGTCATTACGGACTCTTAGCAAATCTTAATTGTCTTGAGTTGTGTAATATTACCACTTATCGACTCGGATCGAAAGAATAGATCCTATGATCAACAATGGTCGGGAACGAGGGACCTAATGTGGTTTAATTTCTCGATGAGGAGGAGCGTTCTGGTGGCTGGCAACATGGAAGTTCAGATGAAGCGCTAGCTGCACCAAAGACCACATAAAAAATTACAGATGAAATGTTCAACCTACTATTGCAAGTTAATGACAAGTTATTAACGAATGTGTTACATGGCTTGGGAGTAAAATAGCATTACTTGGACGAGGAGCCGCGTATACAGCAAGGATAACAAAGAATCAAATGTATTCATAGACAAGCCATGATATATTGTTATCCTTATATTGTGGACGTAGGCGCAGACGTAGTATACGCACTAGGCGCAGAAGTCACACTAGGCGCAGAAGTCACACTAGGCGCAGAAGTCACACTAGACACAAGTCACACTAGGTACACAAGTCACACTAGGCGTACAAGTCACACTAGGCGCACAAGTCACACTAGGTGCAGAAGTCACCCTAAGTGCACAATATGCAATAGTCACCCTAAGCACGCTAGACGCAAGAGTAACACTAAGCAAACTAGACACGATAGTAACACTAAGCACACTAGACACAATAGTCACCTAAAGCGCACAAGTCACACTAGACCACTACCTGCACTGACGTTCGTCCGTTGCCAGGGCGCGCCGCCGGGTCTCCTGCTGCTGGGACTCCAGCGCCGCCCACTCGGCCCCCGCCATCTCCTCCTGCATCTCGTGGATGCGCTGCGTCGTCCAAAAATAAGTCCTCTTATAATAATTGAACAGGAAAACAAGGCTTTTTGATGCAATAAACCCGTATGAGTTTCGGTGGAATGGAATTTTTTATCCAATTAATGACAAGATCAGATTTACAGTATTTCATTTAAATCGACAGATGCATCCTCGAGAACTTATGAAAACAGTCTAATTCGATTAAACTGACCGTTAACATCGAATTTTTAGCTTCTCGTCAAGTCTTCCCTACGAAGGATACATTAATCCAGCGTAAGATACATTAATCTTTATTAATCCAGCACAAGACCAATAAAAAATTAATTAATCTTAATCAGGAATTCCAATTTAAATGAAACATAACGAACCTTAAGCGACGCAACGGTCTCGTCGAGCAGGAAGGTCGTGTCGTTCATGAGGAGGTTCACGAACTTGATGAAGTCGCGCCCAGACCTGAAAACATTATTGGCAATGCAGCTGCTGCAGCAGCCAAGCCGACCAGCAAAACGTTTTAGTAACAAAGAAAAAAAATAAATAAAAATAGAGCAAAACACGAGCAGAAATTCTATTTTTTAGTGCAGCAATCGAAAAAGTTTAGTGATAAACGAAGCAAGAGAACAGCTTCCAGGACACGCATGTTGGAGGCCGAGCATTATTAGTACATTGGCTCAATCGTATTAGTAGAGCTTAGTGAGATAATAAGCATAATGAGTTAGCCAAGTTAAGCAAGAAAAAAATATAAAATAAATAGCATGAACTTAGGGCGAGCAAAAAAATTTCAAGATAAGACAGGGATTTTCAGAAAACAAATGAATTATAAAAATTGGGCTAACACGGCATTCGATGTGAAAATCGTAACAAATTTTGAACACCGCTTTGAAATAGAAGAACAAACTCGTGCACTAGACAGATGAACCAAGAAATAACTTGTACTTTTAGGAGTCAAAGAGTGCATGACTAAAGAGCGATCGCGGTGAACACTTCAGTGGTAATGGGATGTCGCAAATGAGATCAAAATGAACTTCCTCCAATGCATTACAGAGGTAAAGTAAATTAGTACATATGACGTTACCTTGATATCATAACAAAAAGAACAGCTATTAAGAACAAGGCAGCACTGCAACAAACAGCATGCTTTAGAGTCAGATAAAAGTTCTGAGGACTTCAAAAATGGTCAGCGGTGCATCAAACAACGTGGTGCATGCATCAAACAATGTGATATGTGAGAACCATACCGCCTTTATAAACATTGGAGCATTCTTAAACTGCCTTATTACGATGCGCAAAAGAGAAACTCCTTAGTGCATGCCAGTCCTCTCCTGCTCTAGAACCGGTACTGCTGCAGTACTGCCAAACACTGCTCTCATATACTGCACTACTGGTACAACTCACAGCAACACTGCCCTCACATACTGCACTACTGGTACAACTCACAGCAACATTGCTATTATTATACCACTCACTAAAAATTGATATATTTAAAATCAACACTGCTGGGATTACGACAGTACGATTATATAACTTCCGCTGCCACTCTGATAAAGACCACTACATAATTTTACGAAATGCAGCTATGAGTCAGCAAAATAAGGCCATTACTGAACTAAATACTGCCACTCACCACAACACCCACCACTCACCACAACACCGCCACTCACCACAACACCCACCACTCACCACAACACCCACCACTCACCACAACACCCACCACTTACCACAACACCCGCCACTCACCACAACACCGCCACTCACCACAACACCCGCCACTCACCACAACACCCNCCCGCCACTCGCAACACCCGCCACTCACAACACCCGCCACTCACAACACCCGCCACTCACAACACCCGCCACTCACACCACCCGCCACTCACTTGGCTTCCTCAATGAAGGCCTGTTTGAGGCGCAGCTCGCGCCAGAAGCTCCTGAAGATGACGCCGACGTGATACCTGAAGCTGAACTTGTCGTAGAAGCCGTTGCTGGTGCCCATGCTCTCGACCACTGCGGGGCGAACGATGGTCAGGTCTAGGTTTTATTACTGTACATATGGTGATAACCACTAATGGAACACTCTTAACGCTGCAGCAATAGCTAATAGTGGAACAATATAACGCTGCAGCAGTAGCCACTACTAGTGACACACTACTGATGCTGCAGCAGTAGCCGCTAGTGACACAGCAGCGTCAGCCACTAGTGGCACACTACTGACGCTGCAGCAGTAGCCACTAGTGACACAGCAGCAGTTGTTGTTGTTGTAATTGCCCATCCTGGCAGTGGCGACTAGGGAGGGGGGGTGATAGGTCAGTTTTTCCGGGTACTCGGTACCACTGGTAGTTCCACGACCATCACTGGCTCGCTGACCCGCCAGAACCATTTGATTGCAGTACACAACACCCTGGACAAGCCAGGTACTCATTTATCAACCAAAGTTGGATGAATGGCCGAGTTGACCATGAGCTGAGCTTCCCGGTAGAACTTGTCCTCAGTGGGACTCGAACCCGGGCGCTGGGTGCGAGAGACAGAGTCTATCACCACTGCACCAGCACAGCTGCAGTAGCCACTAGTGGCACACTACTCACAGTTATAGAAGCGCATGAGGGCGGAGGGGAGAAGGACGGACAGCGGGTGGCTGAGGACGCGCTCGTACAGCCTCGGCACCAGGTTACTGGGGCTCATGTCGAACAGCATCTGAAAAATCGAGTATTTACAAGCATTTGAATTCAAGTTTCACAATAAATATTTCACTTGACGGTGAATGTCTTAATCATTTCATCAATACGTAGTTTCACAAGTCTTCTCATTCAGTAAAGTAAGCATACATACAGTATGAAGTAAGGCCAGTGAAATGAAGCATCATGAGGCAAATGAAGCCAGAAAACCTCCACCTTCTTACCTAAATGCACTATAATATTTCGATGCTTCATTAAAAAAAATTATTTAAACACTAAGTTACAAAAAAAAAAAAACACAAGATAATGCACGAAAGAGATACGAATTCGTTTATACAAACTTTGATGTACTTACGAGAAGACAATACTTATAAAGACATACATATATCTAATATGGGAGATACGTGAAGCTTTAGGCAAAATAATGGAAACAAACCTCAACAAATTTGGCGATGAGGTAAGGGTTCTTGACGTGACCATCAGAACAGCCGCAGATCACAACCACGAGCAGACTTACGAGGTCCTGGCCCACGTTGTTCTCCACCGTCGGGAAATGATAACTGAAGCAATTAATAAGTTGAGGTACTCTCATAGAAATTCGGCACGAGTAATCGGACAAATAATAATATAACAAATAATTATATACAATACTTAAATGCTCCAAGGTGAGCTGAATACACTTGATCAGTTACTCACTGAGATATGAAAAGAATAACTTCAGCAATATCTTCGAGAAAGAACTCAGGGAAAGCCGAGAAGAGTTTAGGTGTGGTCATCTTGGGCAGGGAGACTTGAGCGTTGCTGGAGGACGCGCTGTCTGTGGAGAGCAGGGACACGAACAAGGCTTCGTACTGCGGACCTAACAACGTCTGAAGCAAGACCTGCGCGACGCTGCAGTAGAACGTGAGGCACCGCGTCAGCAGCTGCAGGTCTAGTAAGACCACCTCTTGACACACGCGCGCTTGCTGCAAACGCTGCACGAGAATTGTGTGGGGAGTATGATATTATTAAACGAATTTTTCTCCGAAAATATATTCATAGCAACGTTCCACTGAACTTTATCACCACTGATTAATGAGTAACCAAAAACGGGTGCAGTACTTAACCCGTTCACCATTTGACGCAAGTAAATACATTTACTTTCATATTTTATATATGAAATATATAAAATATATTTACTTTTCAGGTAAACAGTAAGCATTTACGTGTTTTACATACCGAAGTAAGAAACAATATAAACAAATTCAAAGTTTCAAGTCTAGCTGAACAAACAAAAGCTGTATTATCACTACAATAATGTACTAAATACAGCAGTATTCAAGTTTACAAATGCCTCTCACAAATTAGTTGCGAAGTGAAGCCGATAAGCCAGGTTTGCCGATATCAAGTATAAAATATTGACATCAGACTATTTCCCCAGAAATGTTAGTTAAAATAACATAATATTTCTTGAATAAAAAGGCAATAATCGATTAGTTTTCAAGCGACTCGCCACCCTGTGCACGTCAGCTCACTAGAAGCAGCTACAAGGAGGACGAATTCACCTTGACTTGATGTTTCCATCGCGTGAGAACTTCGCGTTGTTCTGCAGCGTTAGGTTGGTCCCGCCACTGCTCCTCTGAGCTCTCGATCTGGTCTATCTGAAAAGCGACAGGCAGCAACATCTTACTACTTCGGCACAAAACTTCGCAGAATCAACACAGATGTACTAAATACAACTTCAGAGGATTCATACATACCCACAAAATACAACTTCAGAGACTACAGTTGTCCAAATACAACTTCAGAGGATTCTTACAGTGATACAGAATACAACTAAAAAAGATTCCAAATACAACTTCATAGGATTCACACAGATGTACAAAATACGTATCACTAAACGCTCTAGTACGTCAAAATAATGATAATAATGCTCATTAAACGAGTGCGTGGGCTAAGCAACGGGGCAGAAGAGCAGCAGACCACTTGTTATAGACACATCCTACACCAAAAAGAGCATAGGAACAGCAAAAGAGCAGCAATCGAGCAGCAAAAGAGCAGCGATCGAACAAAAGAGCAATAGACCACTTGCTATGGACACATCCTGGACCAAACAGAGCAAAAGAGTAGCAATCGAGCAAAAGAGCAGCAGACCATTTGATATCTACACGTCCTGGACCACAAGCGTTACCATCTGCTGGAGCTCCGCGATGGCTTTGCAGCGCTTGTTGTAGCGTCTGATGCAGGGTACGATGGAGAGATGGTGGGCGCTCAGGGTGAGGAACCAGCACTGGCTGTGGAAATTGACCGCCTCAAACTGGCTCGTATCCGACTCTGAGGAACATCAGGATCGTTGGGACTAAAACAATAGTTAATCAGATTACTACAATCTCATACTTCAATCCTAATATTGAAATGGTGCGTTATTTCATGATTAATCAATAGGTTTTAAATATTTGTAAAGATCGAAAATTAGAGGCGGGAACTTTTAATATAGGTCGCCATCTAAAATTTCACTATATTTTGTGTACGGTAATGAAATTCTCATATAAATTATTCATAAATTCATAGTCAACTTGGTCGACTTCATCACTCACGTATCTCTTTTCTGAACTCCTCGGCTTGGGGCTCACTCATGGACAGTCTGCTCTCGCCATCGAAATTCACTAGCGACTTGGGATGCAAAAAATATTTCGGGTCCACTTTCTCAACTTTAACCTGTTAAATCAATGCATATTCATCAGTACACAAATATAGTCAAATCAACAAGCAATAATCGGAATAATGTTTGCATACCTGAATGATAATAAAAATAATACTGGAACATTATGCACTCTCAGCATCTAGAACTTTTCTATGTACATACATTTAGATCGGAATAACTTAATTTTTTACATCCAAAAAATTATTATAAACATGTTTTCTTTCAGAATAATGGAGCAGGAGATTTATATTCTAAGGAGAGGAAACCTTATTATTACTGCAGGTATGTAACACACGGAGCGGAACGCACACGAGCTACAAGGCTTGTTCGTGTGTGAAGGCTGAAGAAAGCAATACCTTGAGGCACAGCAGCTGCATCACAGAGAGCAAGTTAAAGGCGTGGCCATCTGACATGACCTCCGAGTCTTTGCACTGCATTTGAGCGCGCTTCTTGTTACGCAGCAGCGTCTCCGAGAGCAGCTGCAGCGTGCCTTCTCTCGAGCTGTTGTTTGCTGAGACGTATAAAAAACAATTGTCATATATTAGTTAATAACAAAACAACAATATCATATATTAGTTAATAGAGTTAGGGTTATTATCTTTTCTATTATCTTTTGATGTCATGCAGCATTTCATAGCAACAAAGCAGGTAGCCCCCCGGAAGAACAAGCTATCTTCTATACCGTCAGTAACATAGGTAGGTATACCTTATTGATGCTATTGCAACCTTACACAAATTATTAGATGTTATTGGTACGTACTTAGTAGGTTGTGGAAGAGTTTCCAGAGGCCGTCGCGACGGACGAGGTCAAGTTCGAGGGCGAGGGAAGTGAGGGAGCTTGGCAGAGACTCGAACACTTCGTAGAGGCGACCCCTCCGAGCGCCAAGGTCGTTGGGGCCTGTACACGCTTGAGTTACGCAGGGCCAACACAAACACGTGCAGCAAACAACTAGCAGCACAAATATGGAGTCAACTTGCAGCAACACAATATCGGAGCAACAAGAGCATCACATATGACCAGGTAAGCATTAGTAACATCACCAATATCGGAGCAACAGGAGCACATGTATTGTCGCAAGTAGTAATAGAGAACATATACTTCATGTTCACGAGCGAATGCTAGGGCATCACGTCAGTCCAATATGACGATAGTTCAATTCTAAAGCAATTTGCCAATTAATCAATTGAAGAATCATAAGTTTAATCCAATGAGACAAATGAATTATTAAAGCACGAGTGACGGCAACTAGGAGGCAATACAAACACCGGTCATATACTACCGGTACTTATCACAGTTAACGAGTTGTCCGACATAATCTGCTGGTCGCCACTTATCTAGTTTGTCAAGGCGCACAAAAAGGCGCATGTTGTCACAAAACAACACGATGGCGACTCCAATTATAAGCAGTCAGTCAATATTAGATGAGCGTATTGGTAACAAAACTATAGGTGAGCATTAGGCATATCACGCACCCGATAGGTATTGCTTGACGATGTCAGGGCAGTCCTCGACGAAGAGCGAGAGTTGCGTGAAGGGACCCAAGAGCGACGTGGTCACGATCTCCCGCCCAGCCTCAGCCGCCACACGCACCGCGGGACACCACGAGGGCTGAAACAGAAGACACCAACCCCATTCAGGAATATATACTTACATGATAGTGTTCAGTGGGGTCATACTTTCAAAATTCTCTAAGTGGACGTAAGTACTTACGCTCTATTTTCTTGTCTCTGATTGGCGGATTTTGCTTGCAAGGCCGTCAATGATTGGCTGATGAACTTACGATCTCTTAACTTTTTTTGAAAGCATGGGCCCAGTATAGGAGCAAGCAGCATCATGAGCATAAATTACTGATCCTATAAATAATGTTACTACGTTACTTTACTTGAGGTAATTCAAAATCGAGGACTAGCAGTTTCAACAGTAATTCGGTCCGCAGAAAATTCTGCGGTTTGCTACTGAAAAAAAGAAGGCACAAGCATAGCAAATCAAACTAAGACCATACTAATAAAATATTCCACTATGATATAACATGATTGCATTTAGTATTATTAACAAAAATTCAACTTTTCAAACCAAGTACAATTACTGTTTAGAAGCAAGAAAAATTACTTTAAAGGAGAAAAACAGAGTGTCGGTAGTGAAACCGTCAAGAGTAGCACAGACACTGACCATGGTGACCATGAGTGAGCAGATGGGTCGGTTGTTGTTAGTTTTGAACTCAGTGAGTATGATGTAGACCTCGAGTATTCTTCTGTAGGCGGGGTGCAGGAGACTGCAGCGTCGCATCAGGTCGCTCAGTCCCAGCAGAACTCCTGACCAAACCTGCACACAAGCTAAGGTCGCTCAGTCCCAGCAAAACTCCTGACCAAACCTGCACACAAGCTTACTCGTCATGGCAAGAAGATATTCTACTTAATGTTTCTACTTAATGTGACTATTTAATATTACTCTACTTAATGTTACTCTACTTAATATTACTCTACTTAATGTTACTCTACTTAATGTTGCTCTACTTAATGTTGATATACTTAATGTTACTCTACTTAATGTTACTCTACTTAATGCTGCTCTACTTAATGCTGCTCTACTTAATGCTACTCTACTTAATGCTGCTCTACTTAATGCTACTCTACTTAATGTTACTCCACTTAAAACTGCGAGGCAGGCTCACTGCAAGGTCTGGCGCCGTACAATTAAAACCTAAATACACGTAGCGGCTGATTTCTGCTTTGTGATTGGCAGGCTTAGCTTGAAAAGCGTCATTGATTGACTAAATTCGATTGTCCTATTCGTCATTCGTCAATCGATTGACCATATTCGATTGACTATATTCGACTATATTTGATTGAGTGCGAAAAAAAATACAACAATAAAATTGCATGAGGATTATGAAAAGTTATTCAAAGAGTCTAAAAATAAAATAACTCATTCCGTATATAAACAGAGGTGAAGTTCAAGAGTTTAGCTAATGGACATAGGTTCATTGACATATGGTAACTTCAATAGAGCCTTTAAATGTAACATTCCTCTATAGGAACGTCTCAACACATATAATTAATTTTAAAACTTTTCTCATATCAACTTATGACATATCGTAGTAAAAGTCTAAATAGCATCCTAATAGCATTTATCTCGAGAGCTAATACTATAAATGCTAGTAAGGTTAGCATGAAGCCGTAAAATTTCTGCGATGTTTATTATCGGTGACAGGCCAAGTTTACTAAATTCAACGCCGACGCCAACATTACTTTTGATACTGAATAAATTTAAAAAGTTCATAGATCACTAATAGGTATCACCTCACTCCTAATAAATAAAAAAATATAACTCAGTACTCACTGCAGTGAGTGACAGAGAGCGCATTTTCTCGTCGACGAAAACGTGAAGTCACGGACGGACAATTCAGGAATATATACTTACATGATAGTGTTCAGTGGGGTCATACTTTCAAAATTCTCTAAGTGGACGTAAGTACTTACGCTCTATTTTCTTGTCTCTGATTGGCGGATTTTGCTTGCAAGGCCGTCAATGATTGGCTGATGAACTTACGATCTCTTAACTTTTTTTGAAAGCATGGGCCCAGTATAGGAGCAAGCAGCATCATGAGCATAAATTACTGATCATATGAATAATGCTACAACGTTGCTTCATGTGAGGTAATTCAATATCGAGATGAGACTTGCAGTCTCAACAGTAATTCGGTCCGCAGAAAATTCTGCGGTTTGCTACTGAAAAAAAGAAGGCACAAGCATAGCAAATCAAACTAAGACCATACTAATAAAATATTCCACTATGATATAACATGATTGCATTTAGTATTATTAACAAAAATTCAACTTTTCAAACCAAGTACAATTACTGTTTAGAAGCAAGAAAAATTACTTTAAAGGAGAAAAACAGAGTGTCGGTAGTGAAACCGTCAAGAGTAGCACAGACACTGACCATGGTGACCATGAGTGAGCAGATGGGTCGGTTGTTGTTAGTTTTGAACTCAGTGAGTATGATGTAGACCTCGAGTATTCTTCTGTAGGCGGGGTGCAGGAGACTGCAGCGTCGCATGAGGTCGCTCAGTCCCAGCAAAACTCCTGACCAAACCTGCACACAAGCTAACTCGTCATGGCAACAAGTTACTCTAATTAATGCTCTACTTAATGTTACTCTACTTGATGTTACTCTACTTAATGTTACTCTACTAAATGTTACTCTACTTAATGTTACTCTACTTAATGTTATTCTACTTAATGTTACTCTACTTAATGTTACTCCACTTAAAACTACGAGGCAGGCTCACTCCAAGATATGGCGCCATCCAATAAAAACCTAAATAAACGTAGTGGCCGTTTTCTGGTCATAAGTCTAAAGAGCATCCTAATAGCATTTATCTCGAGTGCTTATAATATTAATACTAGTAAGGTTAGCATGAAGCCGTAAAATTTCTGCCATTTTTATTATCGGCGACAGGCCAAGTTTACGAAATTCAACGCCGACAACAACATTAAAATTAATACTGAATAATGTAAGACGTTCATAGATCACTAATATGCATCACCTCACTCTTAATAAATAAAAAAACTAACTCAGTACTCACTGCATTATGTTACAGAGAGCGCATTTTCTCGTCAACGAAAATGCGAAGTCACGGACGGACAGGCGGACGGACGGACAGGCGGACGGACGGACGGACAGACAGACATGGCGAGCACAATAGTGCATTTTTTCCATAAATGAGAAAGTGCGCTAAAAACATATAATCGTGACCTTTTGGAAGAGCTGTGCGCCGTCGTGCGCGGTGTGGTGCATGAGGTCGGCCAAGAAGCCCCGCGGCAGAGCGTCCAGCAGCAGCGGCCTGATGAGGTCCGAGCTGAGGGCCAGGCCGCTCGGCAGGAACAGACTGCGCTCGCTGCTCGAGTACGCGTCGAACGTGCCTGTGGTATGTACGGGTGCTACAAACGTACACATTAACTCGTTACAGACGTCGAACGTGCCTGTGGTATGTACATGTGTGCTACAAACGTACACATTAACTCATTACAGGCGTCGAACGTGCCTGTACACGTGCTATTTCCAGTCGGTATATACCACTCCACATTGTCAGCGCTACTACTTGTATAGCTCTACCCTGGCGGAACTTCTAACCTGCAAATAATGAACTGCTTCTCATCAAAAGATGCTGGGCTCATCACAGAGAGCTGGGCTTAGCTCTGAAAGTACCGAGCGTATTACAGAGTCCTGAGTTTCTCCCAGAGATCTCAGAGAAAAACGCATAGTGTAGGTACTGTAGTCTTCGCGGTAATTAGCAGAACTTTGGTACCTGGTTCTTTACCCGAGTTACAAGTGTTGTGCTCTGTTTTTTACATAATATATCAAGAAGTAGAGTCTAATAACAACATGGAGACTGGACATAAGTTTGATGGAAGCTGAACTTCTAGTCTTTAGATCCCGGCACTTTTGGAACGAGCAATTCTCATCACCAAGGAAAGTTTGAGCAACTTTTTTCATCCTGCCACAAAACATGATTAGCTCATGATGAATACTGCACAATGCGTACGAGGAATGACAAGCATCAAAAGTGGGTGTTATATACAAGTAATCAAAAAAAGAATGAAAAATTCGATAAACTCTAGAAGATGTTAGAGACCTGAGAGCATCTGGGCGGTGAGCTGCATGGACTGCCGCCGCACTTCCACGAGGGCCTTCGAGATCTGCTCCACGGCGCTCTTCTGTGCACGGACAACACCAAGTACGTTAAGAAGTAAGTGAATAGATCTAATCATCTAATGTATCTAAGTATTACTAAATAGTTAGGACTGATAATATATAGTGGACAACACCAAGCACGTTATAAGGTAAGTAAATAGATCTTGTGTTTCTGAGTATTTAGTTATTTGAATATTTAGTCCCTGAGTATTCAGTTAAATAGTTACTACTTATAATATACCTATAGTAAAATAACTGCTACTGACATTAAAAAGTTGAATAATAAATTCTAATAATTAATAGTTAACATAGTAATTAGCATTTAAATAAGAGATCGTTTTATATTTTGGACCTCTCATTCAAGTCTCGATAAAGCGACAACAATCTTGACGCAATGTACACAAAAAATACGTCGGCAAAAGGTAAACTATATCAGCGTGTAGAATACATGGTAAGCTTGTTGACATGCACCGATATACATGTATATAAAAGGTGACTCACGGAAACTTATTGAATTTAAAGTTCAACAAAAAAATAACTAGTAAAAATATCGCTACAATATAAATTCTATTGAGAAAAACATTACCTGAATTTTTATATCATTTAGTTTTATAGAAGACATCGGACATATGACGGCCCCCATTGTCAATGCATTCAGTTAGTAAATTTTTGAAATTCCGTTCAATTCGCTGAAGCATGTTGACGAGCATGTTGGCAATGGCTTGGCGTATGTTGTTCTTTAAATGAGGTAGAGTCCTTGGATAGTCATCGTACACAACTGATTTAGAATTTTAGATAAACCCATACAAAAATCACAATGAGGGAGCGCTGCCGGAAATGTAGAAGTGAACCTCATCACTAAAGAAAACGACTACATCGTGAGGCAAGTTCTCAAGAAACGCTTCACATGTATTTCGGCGAGCAATAAAATTGTTTTCCTTTAGTTCTTGTGCCAGTCACAATTTGTAGGGATGAAATTGCAGTTCATTGTGTAGTATTCGTACCACACAGCTATTCGAAATCCCCAGAATAGCAGCGTGTTTACGCGCTGAACGGTGTGGAAAACGCCTCTCAACTCTTAATTAGTTTTCGGGTGTTGTGTCAGTACGCTGGCCTCCAGACCCTCTTGTATTCACACTTCCACTTGCTCTAAATGTGTTCACCCACGTAACAATCTATTTCCGATCAGGAACCCTACCTGAAGGACGAATACGGTACCTTGTACGGAATGCTCATTGAGCCGCGATATAAGAACGGCCATTAGAAAAGTAGTATGCCTCGACAGCAAACACACGCTGCTCACTTGTCCAATGCATAGTGGCAACTGACTAGGCGATACACAAAACTTCACGACCTTGTTTTTCATATAAAATACTTCCCGCCCTTTTCCTACAACATCTGATTGCGTGGCGTAGAAGACATAACGTTAGGTTTCCGTGAATCACCCTGTATAGTATAGTTTTTGACAGGCACCAATAATACATAAATAGCTGGTTGATAGGCACCTACAATACATAATAGGCTGGTTGATAAAGCATGATAAACTAGTTTATATGCACCTTAGGGTAGTCTCTCTCGTAGGTGACAGCTGCGCGGTACACGGAGCAGAGATAGTTGAGGGCGGCCGCCTCCTTGCGGTCCGGTGGTTTACACAGCTGCTCTATAGCAGCCGAGATATCTGTTGCAGCTGCAAAACAATCATGAAGCTTTAATGTATATTCCAGGAAAATGGATATTAATTCTGATTTTTTTTAATGCATGCTAATGAAGTGAGAGATGAAGAATTAGTCTAAACTCTTCAGTACCTATTTGTTGCTTATACCGCAATTGAAGATGATGTAAGTTATAAGCAATTATACCAGCCCCTGACACCGACCTTGCTCAGCCCCAGGACTGGAGTCGTGCTGCGCTGTGGCACCAAACTTTGCTGTGGCGTGCTGCTCAGCGCGCAGCAAGCGCAGCACCACGCTCATCGTCGTCTCTGATATGACGTTCTCGACGCTGCTAGCGCTGCTCAAGCCTGTCACCTGCAATTACGAGTAAACATAATAACATTGTTCAGCTCTTCTGAACAGTAATTATTTTACCATTTAACATATATGTTAATTATAACAGCTATCATATTGTTACAAAGTATAAATAGCGTGCGCAAAAAAAATTAAACCTCAAACGTCAACTAAACATCATAATACATTGCAAAGTTGAATAAGTAGTAAGTGAATGAACTGCTCCTTAACTCATCCTGAATAATTACACAAAATGCCAGGGCCGCCCTCACGCTAATGAGTAACATGGGAGCCAGCAGCCATGACTCACCTCGGTGAGGAGCAAAGGCTCGTCCAGCGGAGGGGTCTGGCAGGAGTCCACTTCAAGACCAGGCCACGAGACCAGCAGCAAGGAAGACAGGATGCTCTGCAGGTGCTCCGGAGTCACCTCACTTCTGCTCACAGTCTGCAAGTTCAAAATATTATTGATATTAATGAAGATTTTCAGAGTATTTAACATCAATAAAGTACCAGTTTGGGAAAAGTGCGATACTCATGCATGACATTCCTATCTTAACTTTGTCCACCATGCATGACATCACCACCCCCATTTTCTTTCATACACACATCAATATTTACTATCTATGTCTCTCATACATGACATCACTAATTACTATGTCTCTTATACATGACATCACTATTTACCATGTCTCTCACACATGACATCACTATTTACCTTGTCTCTCACACATGACATCACTATTTACCATGTCTCTCACACATGACATCACTATTTACCATGTCTCTCACACATAACATCACTATTTACCCTGTCTCTCTTGCAGTCAGGTCGCCTCTGAAGAGCTTCATCATCAACATCCATGGGAACCTCCGTTGCCAGCCCCTCGGCAGTGATGACAGCTTCAGACAAAGACCTGCCTGTTGCCTCAGCGCCGCTGCCCTCAGCACCTAAGACCAATAGAGCTGGAGACACGTCACAAGAGTGTTAGAGCCTTATTTGCTAGAGACATGCAAGCACAGAAAAACCATTCAGGGTCTTTAAGAAAACGTCTGAGAAACCGCAAAACTTTCCCTTAAGCAAATACAGACTAGAACAACAGCTTTGTTTTAATGTGGAAGAAAAACTGTGACAATTAAAATTTATGGTAACTACCTCAGATGAGAGCAGTTTTCTGGTGAAGAATTTGTGTGAATTGAGGCGCATGAAGTACAACATCAAGAAGACCTTTTTTCAACTCTCATCTTACATAAACCAAGATGACTCATACGAGTAAAGTATTGAAGAATATAGAGTATGGCTGGAGTACAAAATTAATTTATCAGAGAGGTGTTGCATGTGAGATATAATAGCGGATATTATAATAGTGCACCATTTCTCCATTGCACAGAATTTGCCAGGAACATAAATTAATTAGTAAATATGAAGCAAGAATACAAATTCCAAAGACATCAATAGAGTAGCTGGAGTAAGACCTGCCATTGACCAAGTTATTGAATTTCATTTCAATTGAAGTTCAAAAAAAAAATTCCTTAGATGAACTCATTTAGAAACATTTATATTGTAGCACTTTCAGTTCCCTCATTTCAAGCACTAAGGGCAGAAAAATATTGAGCAATAATTTTAATCCCATTGTGCAACCATTTTGTCATTTTTAGGTTAATTTTTAGGTTAATTAGTATATTGTCCCAGGAACCAGCCTGAGAACCTGAGAAAATTTGAAGTGATTGATGTCATATGTTCATAGGCATTAATAACACACAACACTTGACATTTTCCAAAGCAGGAAATAAGATTGTAATAATCCTCAGCCAGAAAAAATCTGTCTAAATGGAAAACTTATTCAAACCAAACATTTGAATATTCAAACATAAGGCCATAAAAAATTAAATTTTGTATAAAATTCAACAACAATTTCAAGTTATTATCAAAATTGTTAAACAGCAAACCATTCATAGTTCAATTTAACAGGAAAAATTTGTTAGAAATAACCCAATATAGAGCAGTAAATTGATGGTAGGAACAAAGGAAAGCTCTCATCAAGGACACACTCTAACAGACAATTGATGGTAGGAACAAAGGAATGTTCTCATCAAGGACACACTCTAACAGACAATTGATGGTAGAAACAAAAGAATGTTCTCATCAAGGACACACTCCAACAGACAATTGATGGAAGGAACAAAAGAAAGCTCTCATCAAGGACACACTCTAACTGACAATTGATGGAAGGAACAAAGGAAAGCTCTCATCAAGGACACACAAAGACAAGTACTCACCTTTCTTGGCGGGGGTGGCAGCAGGAGGTGAGGAGAGATTGCGCTTGCAGGGGGAGCTCTGCAGGGTAGAGCATCACAAGAGAACAATTTAAATGCAGGAGGCTAATACTACATATACTTATACAGTTATACTCTATACCTACTACCGTATAATGAATTAATATGCAGACTACCATACACTGCAAATTTAGCTTTCCATACTTGTTTTATGATTCAAGTTTCTCTAATTGAGGGAAAATTCAAAGTATACCAGCATGAGGAATTCATTAACATAAATGCCAATTCTTCATAAATTAGTGAGGTTATAGAACTTCAGTTTGCCACCATTTCTTCAAGTTTTCCAAAAGATATAATACCATCCCATAGCCTATGATGTGACATCTAAAGTTCATATCCAGGAGATGAATGTTATTTGATGCAGTGTATGGGGCACTAAAATTGGAATGGAGATCTACAGACCTGTGTGATGGTGGTGGTGATGGTGATGGAGGAGCAGTCTGGTGATGCTGGTGAGGCTGAGAGGCAAGTTGATGCCTCCCTTAAAAGGCTCTCAGAAACATCAGAACTTTTTATCACAGAAGATCCTGTAAAATTATTTTATTAGATCTAATTCAATCTAGATTTGCAAATGTAAATTGAATTGATGGACACTGGGTTCTAAAATATTAAGATATAAAAATGTTAGGAATGATAACTTAGCTAAATCTACATTCAATATAATCAGGTACTACTTTAAATTACATGAAAGATCTTAGAAAGAAACCATTTCACAACTAATACATTACACTTCATGCTGTTTCAAGACCACATATACCTATGTAGGTACATAATGCTATAGCAATGTAACTAGAGAAGTCACTGGTATCATTACGATAATGTCAAATAATATTCATATTGGATATTATATTACAAATAGATTATGTATGAAGGAAGACAAGGGTAACTAAAGTGCTTTCAATCTTTTTTGCATTCAAATAATTGAATGAATAGCTATTGTACTTCTTGGTTTTTCCAAGAGATCACTTAGAATTCAACTTACCAAAATTAATTTGTAAATTCTTTTCTTGACTTGATGAGTTAGAAGCATTGTCTGTACTGCCACCTGCAGGGCCAGAAGCACTTCCCGAGGACAGCTTTGCTAGTCTCTTCCTTCTGATCTGTGTGAAGGAATGGGCAAGAAGGCATTACAGTATGAGCATTTATGAGCATTTAATTTCACTCAAGAACATGCAAACTTTACAGATGTAAATGAAATATAAGGCAATACATTACGCAGATATTAAATGAAATTATTTATATACTAACAGAAACCAACAACTATTATTACATATTGTGCTTATATATAATAATATTATATTATTATATAATAATATTATATTATTATATATTGTCCAAATACAAAATTTCCTTAATGTATGCCTAGCTACAGAAAAATTAAATTCATAAAAAATATACCTTATCTCTTAAAAGAGGCAATATGAAATTTTTTATGGTTATCATTTTTAAGGTAGTGAAAATTTGAGTCAATGGTCTGTTCCTGCTTGTTCGTTTAATCTAGCAAATGTCATATTCTTTTTGTTTGTTGACCAGTGAACAGTGCCTTACAGTGAATTTTATTTATTTCCTGGTAATTTTAATTCTACTACTTGGCTCTTGTTCAAATATTTTCTAAAATTACCTGAATATTTTGGTCTAAAACTTGCATGTATACATGATTAATAAGTGCAAGAAGCATCAACTTGCAAGTTGTCAAATGTATCAACTTGCGCAAAAGTTTTGCCACTGGCGTGCATTTTTATGCATACCCGAGTCCATTTGACAGTGTGCTATCTTTATTTAATTATAAATGATCTTCAAAAATTAGACTGATTCACATTACTGAATGAATGGGTAATCTGATGTTGAAGATAGTTTACCTACTGTTCAACAAGCAAGCAAGAGCCTGATTGATATTGTACAGCCAATGTAGTAAGTACTAACTACAAGGACGGGAGGTTGTATGATGGCCAATGGTGCCGTTCCTCTAATTTGGGCACTATCTTCACAAAACCAATATGACCAAGATAATTTGGAATAACATTAAATTGCAACATGGTATCGGGGGCAACATTTATTACTAAATCTCCCAAAATCTACCAACACATTACTGAATTACATAATATAAACATTTTCATATGTTAGTTCATGTAGGTATATAGACTATATACTTAGTAATAAAATTTGTTTAAAAAACAGTATTAACATTACAACTTTCTAAAATGTTTGTTATTCTATCTAGACTATTTAGAATATTAGGCAAATTTATTTAATAAATTCTAGGGAACTTCTGTCTGGCAGTTCTAAGTATCCTAAAATTGTGGTTAAAAATGATCATTTCACAGGTCATTTTCAGAAGACAGGTGAAAATAGGCTTTTTTCATATTTACTAATAACAATAATAATTTAGCACTGAAGAAATTAGGAAAAGGCCATTGCAGAAGGTGAAATTGACCCAATTTACAGATGTTACTGTCTGAGTCAGTGATTGGCAAATAAACATGTGGCTTTGACAAAATTTTGTACTTAGGTTTTTTATGATAAAATCAATCATTATTTTGTCCTAGTTTGTCAGCTTAGCAGCTCTATGATTACTGAACAGTGTAATGAGTGTACAACTGTACATGCTGTGACAGCTGTGTTATGCAAGTCCAGAATGCAGAGAAATTTTTGCTTCTGTAGAAGCAATAAAATGAATATCAGATTCAGGAGAGCTAAGCAATTCTGTAATACGATATAGATATTCCTTTCAAATCCTTACCCATCACTGGGATTACCCGCAGCTCAATTCTGCCACAAATACACAATTAATTAACCCACAGCCACAGGCATAGTGACAAAACAGAGATTTTTTAGAGTCAGTTCATTTTTAATTTCCTCATTTACTCAAGATTTAAACCAATTTCTTATGTATGATAATGTTGGTATCCATTATACTTTGCTTGTCTAGAGTCTAAAAAACTCTCTGCTTTGCCACTATGCCCACAGGTACAAAATTTTTTTACATCTTTCAGAGAAGTCAAACTCAAAGTTCTAGTTAGGTCCAGTTTGGCACTTGCGTAAAATGGAATCTCTTACATTATAAAAATATAGTAATTCCATGCATATGGTCATAGGTCAGGAACTCCTAGAAGTTCCTTACAACCTGACCTTGTAGGATTTCCTGAATGAAGGACTAGAAGGATTTCCTTATGTAACTTATGTTTTATTGCCCACATAACCCCATTTACTGTTCAAGACCCTAAATTTAGTGTGAGGCAGGATAATTTGGGTTTCAAGCCTAATTTAGGAGAGAACTCAATCATCATTATAATCATAAATAGGCTCTTTGAATTTACTAATCAATTTTATCCACAAAATTTCATTGCCAATCATCATTGTACATTTGTACCTATATGTTGATTGTTGAACAACAGTAAACAGTTAAGATAGCAATAGCCTAGGGCCCTAGGGCCCTAGGTATTCCTGACTGACCAACTACTGTAAGAGTGTAGTGTATGGCTGTACCTATAATATAACTTATAACCTACCTAAGAGGCTGAGCCTATTGCTAGGTCATGCATAGACATTAGATTGAGAAGACTTCATGACTAAATCATTTAGGTATTTTTAAAATTATTGAAAACAGAGATAATATGAGTGGCCAATTCAACAGTGTATTAGTAAATACTTACCTCATCTTTATTTATTTCATCAGCCATTTTTTTGAGCGTATTTAGTACTTATTGAGTAAATAATCTTTTCATAAATTGGAGATAACAGTAACCAATGCGGCTTATGGATTACTCTGATGTTTATGTCGGAACAGCTGGTGCTGACGTCACAAAAAGTTTTCGATTCCAGAAAGGGTCTATTGCTTGTTAGACTGTGAGACGCAATACGAAATTTAAATGTATATTCAACCAGGTTATTTATTTTTTTAAAAACTCGATAAATATTATTCAATCGGCTATCCGATCGACATCTTTTAATTTCATGTCCATCGCCCGCATAACTTGCTGAAAAATTTAAACATATGTTCCTCATTAATTTAAAGTGAGTTATTGCGTTACATTTTTTTGAATACTTTTTTCAATTTAACACTTGAGAAAAACTGCCTTTGCAAACTAGGGCCTAGTGATAATTCAAGTTTATTTAATTCGTCGCTAGCTATTTTCTCGTTGCCTGCATTCCTGAACAAGGAACAAAATGGAAAAACTGCATGCGTGTCCCGATTTAGGCCTTATATCTTGTAGCATATTTTTGGATTAACTGTTCTGAACTGCCTTGGGATAAGTTAATTCTAATTCAATACAATAATGATTACATAAGGATTTTAGTTGGATTCTGCGTCGCAATGACATTTCTACATCACTCTGACCCTTTTGGGACAATTTTTTTAAGATACCGAGAAATGGCGTTTAGCGCGGTAATTCAAAACAAACCTACAAAGAAGTTCTGTCAACACTCACAACAGCGTTAAGAGAGTGAAGAGCTATGTGTTTAATTAGAACTAAATCCGTTCAGGTTTGATAATTTTATACGATAAAAGCGTACTAACATGGGTGCGCTAAGAAAAGGGCTGTCAAAAGCGTCCGAGCGGCAAAATTGTGCACCAAGAGTCTAGCTACAGCAACATTTAATTAAGGACTTCGCTGCAACCGGCCCTGTGGTTACTGAACACTAAGGTAAGGTGCAAATCTAGACGCAATAGAAATTTGACGTGTAATTTACTCATTAAGATTTCAACTAATTCCAGATCGTGATTATGTAGCTCACAGACTCCGTAGAGTTTTGTTTGTCTCGCGATGAGGTTGAAGATAAAGTTAGATTCTTCATTGTCTAGGAGTAAAATAATCGAGCGACTTGTACGCGAAACACTTTCTTGCACACGAATCCGGATGATATTATCCCTTGTACAGGCACTCAAGGCGAGAGAGTGCTAACCTAACTTCCTAACGATATCTAACCATTCCGTTGGTATATCAAGAAAGAACTTCATACAAACTTACCTTAGAAACTACCAAACCCGAAGATTTAGCATTACCGAAACTTGTCCCTTCTTAACTCGAGATAGGAGTATTAAGGCTTGACATACTGCCCGCCCAAGATAAATGAACGTTTCATAATTGATGAACTCTAGGTATGATGAACATAAGACCTTGAACAACGATCAAAATTGAGGCATTTTTTAAATAACTTTCGAGCTAGAACCAAATACTCCCGCCCAATGGCGAGATGGACTTGCACTTCGACCAACCTTGTATATGATAACCGAATAAGATACGAGAAAACGCTGCAAATTTAAAACGAATTAACAAACCAGTTTGCTATGTAGGAAGAACAGATTAGGAATTTTTTACCGAAACAAATTATATCAAGTATTTACAAAGGCCTCCGCGAGTCAAGTTTAATGCACATCACATGACTTGTTTACCATCACGTTCCGAATAAATATCACTTCTCAGCGTCTGGTTCAACTCACTAGACCCATCCAAACCAAGCCGAGCTTGCACGCCACCGACCTAGGGCCATGAGGATTCGGCAGCCACGCACAACAGATGAAATTTCAACAATCACGAGAACTCCCTATGTTATCTCCGTCATAATTCAAACAACATCACTATGTGCATATAACTCGACTTTAGCATAGATCAATTGACATGAAATTGAGAATTATATTGGCCGTGCGTCGATAGAATGGAAAGTTAAACTAGTTTCATGCCAGCAGGAGAGGACGGGAAGAAAACTCTGCTTAATTGCATATTTTATTGAATCGAGAGACGAGTGTTGCAGTTCCTAACAGTTGACGGTTTGCTTAGGAATGAATGGAGACTGACAAAAATATATTAGCAAAGAAGAGACGGACAAAATAATGATAATTGGTCCTTTTTTCCAGTACGACTGCGCTGATGAAATCGATAGCTAAAATGAACGAGCAGCCGCTCTTATATTAAATATTTAATTAAATTTGAGGCACAAATCAACAGGGGAGATGAACAGTACAAATAACAAAAAAACTTCACACGAATTAAAAAAATACAGAAGGCCATGGTAGAATTTTTTACAGGAACAATCAAGTTCAAATTCAAGCTAGCAATGGATGCAGAAGAACAGTTTCTCTGATAAATTTCAGTGACAAGGGAAGATGAAGACAATCTTATTTCAAATGGCAACTGATAACGAAACTCGCGCATATTTCTTTGATGTTGCGTTGACCAAGAAGAACGAAAGGCTGAAAGCCAATCTTAACCTCACTAATTCGCTGCCATGGCAACACAATGACAAACGCAGAACTTCCAAAACTGCAAGGATTTCCTATTGCCAATAAGCCGTAGAGCAACAGACCGCACAGGTACACCCCTGCACAATCCAGTTAAGCATGTAACCATTATATGCGGGGAGTTCATTTGTTCAAGCCATTGCTAAATGAATTTTAACAGTTACGCAATAAAAAAAAATAGAGTATCGCCGGGCCTTCCCGAAAAATAATATATATGGGTTTGGGTAGTCAAAACTCTTGCAATGGAACCTCTCAGAAGCCAACTATTGCCAGCTTAAGCAGATTTATAAAAAAAACACGTCGTCAAACGTCGACTACAGACAACTTAATTCCACGTCGGATGTTTTGAAACTTTCAATCAACAAGTATGAACAAATTCAGTATGTAGTATCAACCACTCCTCACTTGTGCAGCATCCACCGACGAAACTAACATAGCCAGCTCTTTACATAAATGAAACGAGGATTTTTTACTCCTATCTTGTTTTACAATGAATACGATGAAACAGTAAATTTTGCGCCACTCTAAATGACGATGACACAAGTCATCCTCTTAATGCTGCCTGGTGCTTGTGGATGAAGCCGAAACTTTAGAGTGTGTTTGATCACCGACCATTTAGGCAGCACGATGGTTTAGCTGGAGAATGAAGCTCTAGTTTCAATAGGTCCAAATGAGCGTAAATGCGTCACAGTAACTTGGAACCACATCGTAGAGTTGATGATTAAAGAATTCCCAAACTTCTAGACCTAAAGAAGCTTCTGAAACAAAATAATAACGCGACACCGTGCAACTGGTGCGCAATCAAGATCCCGGTTTATAGGAACAACTAATATTAAAATCTCTCAACTGCCATCCAAAGTAGTTGAGAAAATATTCCGATTTATGCTGCCCCAAAGTTCCTGACACGAGACAAACAGAAAAAATTAGCAATTTTGGCACAGCTCGAGCCGACAGGCGGAATGAAGCCACTCAAAGAATATTTCTGAAGAGCTGTAACTTGCCCTCAGATGGTGAAATTAACTAAAGTCCCAGTGTAAGAAGTCACCTTGGTAATAAATGGAGAAAATCAAGTAGAAACCAGACAATCGCTCTTGTCACACGGGTAAAATACAAAAAAAAAGAGGAAGAGGACTCTCTAAATTTTTCATCCTCAACAGTTCATTTCCTTGTTACCCACATACAAAATTTCATTCCGTAGCCTAGCGAATAGAAGATCATCGTAACTAATCATTCATTAAATCAAGCATCTGACGATTCAGACGCATCAGCCACTGCAAGATTAAATATTTTACCGCACTAACTTGATTAATCGCACATCATAATAATTTAAGTCTCTCTCTGGGTCCACGGCTCGAGGTGCGGCGCTGACTAATCACAAGCTACGCTCGTTCCCTGCTGCATCGACTGAGGATGTATTATAACCCAAGTTACATGAAAAACTAATGCTATCGACAACCCGAGGCTTCAAGAGCAGCCACCTTTAGTTGTTTTCGACACAATTTATGAAAATAAAAAACAAAAGTACCCTTAATAGGAAACTAATTTGATAAGACTCTTATGCGGATTCATCTATTAAGCTCATATTGAACCATCTCAGTCTAAAATGCAAACGTACATCTGAACGTTCAAAATGGTTGAATAAGGTCTGCAATTGGAAAGGAATGCTTCAGGTGTTACACTCTAGATTAGAATGAGCCTTCACGTGACGTTAATCAAAAACCACACCCCGAGCCGCGGTCACAGGAAGGATAAGCTAAGCATTGTTGCTACAGCAGGCGAAGAGCTCGCTCTACCCTCCTCGTTAAAACAACGAAACTTAAATGGCTCAGAGAGACGTAGGTTTAGCAGCAGCAAGCATAATAAGAAAATCATTGAGTCCTGTGTCAGCGACGAGGCCGCTTCGCTGCTGCACGTCTCTTCTCTAAAACGAAAGTGCGATTTTCTTTCGAGCCAAGAATTCATACATATCATGGAAAACAAACATCTAATCATCTCTTTTAGAGTACAGTATTTTATTGTGGGCGATTCTTTGAAAACGGGCAAATGCTCTATGGAAGAACATCCGCAAGATCTTGACCCGTCTGATAGGTTTGCACAAGATGAACGATCGTTCCCTGAGTTCACGTGCAAAACGATGCAAAACCTACAACAAAATAAAATACTTAATGTATAGACCAACATACGTCCACAAAATGAAATAGAAGACTGCGCATTAGCGCAATATTTAGAGAGAAATGAAGGCGCAGCATCCAGTTTTCGAGACACACGCGCGGCATCAGCTCCAAGGATCACTGAACTGATGGAATGAGCCGGACATTTAAAAACACGTTCCTCGCTCTGCTCGGTAGTAGTTTTCTGTTGAGGTAAGGCTAATATTTCAGGGCTATAGCCGAAGTTACTGTTCTGGGCATAAAATAATGTCTCTTTTTTCATCCGACGCTCACGATGACAATAGGTCATATCGAAGCAAGAAGCTGCCAAGGCGATTGAGGGACGTGGGTCATCAATAGTTGTTTGTTCTAAAAAGAAACGACAGCTCAGCATAGGACACGATAATTGAGAATCATTTCGCATGAAGGGAGCGCGTCTCAAACAATAACAGTGGGCAGCAGGTACAGACTTGAGAGACGCACCATCAGGTATAGTGTCAGAGGGGAAAAATTGCTTTCTTGAACGGTGCTGCGTGCTACCTTGCATGAATTCTGGTCCTTGATGTAGTTGATGACATTGCAAACTATGATAGACAAGTGAAGTCTTTTCAAGTGTTGATTCCATCTTTCCATGATTCAGTTTAAAACGTGACTGTGCACCATTCGAATGAACGTCGTCTCCAAGTGTTGAATAAATTTGGCAACGATCAAGGACACCGTGTGTGCCATCGTCCGTTCTCTCAACAAAACAGGTGCGACAATAGCAGCAAATAGATTGGTTTTTACATGTAGAGTTGCTCGCTTGCTCAGGAACACTTGATCCCCTAATACCCAAACAACATCGGCCTGAAGCATATTTGTTGATGCTGCGTTGAAGCCGACCGTAGGGAGCACACATGATCTTATTAACTTGATGATCGACTTGTGAAGATAGGGCAGCTCTGCTCACTGATGTTGCGGTGGGTGGCCGACCATAGGCATGCTCGCATGACCTGTTATCAAACAAATAATTTTTAGTAAGAATAATATAAAATTTAAGTCTCAACAGATATGTCAGCTATTTCACTCAGGTCAGTTAGGACTATCCAATCTAAGAGGGTAGCAATGTTTCAAGAGTTACACTTAGGCATGTAGGTCCAATACAATGCAATGCAAAGAATTAAAGCTAGGAGTTCCCATGCGTCATCAAACACGACACTATCTACCATACACGGGCCAACTCTAAATACTCATACATCTCAGGCACATACAATCAATCGGACTTACGGAGGGAGTCGGTATTCTCATTACAGAACGAGTCAGCAACTCCTAATTGTTGAATAAGTAAATCGAGTACGTTTCAAAAATCCGTTCGCTCAATTCTTACGACACTCGAAATCAAATTATTTTATTACAGTTGGATAGCTGGATAGTTCAGACAAAGCGTATCGTGAACAAGCAAAATTATCTACAAGAGGATGAATAAGGTCAGAAAAGATTTTGAGCCGCGAGCCGCAGAATTACACATGGCACTACATGCTTCACAAAGGCTCACTTATCACACATTATGCTGGTATAGAGTATCATTAATTAGGCGGAGCAGTGATGAGTGCAAGAACAGTTGAGCAATGAAGGAGAAATAGAACGACGGCGACAAGAGCCTTTACAAAGAGCCTTGCAATTCAGCAAAACAGGGAAGCTGCGGCACTCTGACCACCGCACCGAATACGTGACAACAAATCCTCAACGAATCTACATCCTCAAATTGTTTTATCTGAAGAGAAAAATAATATTCGTTCAACTTCTTCACATTAAAACATGCTATCCAGTATGGATGATAATGATTTTCAATGTTTCAGAATGTGGAATATTACGAGGTACAAGCACAGTACAAGTTTGTGCTGGTGAAACTATCTATACTACACCACACACATTCTGAAACTGAAATAGTTCAATATAACTGGAATTTCGAGATTCAAAAAATAATCGAGTTGACTGGCTTAGTCAAAATTGAATGCCAATACACAGCAAAATGTTAAAAAAACTCGAGAACAGGACATGTATGACACCAAGAGCGGTACGAAAATAAAGAGAAACCTCAACAAAAAGAAACATTTCAAGTTTTCACATCTCTTTACCCTTGAATATTCTCATATTACTCTCATATAACACTATATTGAGGACAACAACCCGTATAATGCAGAAGCACAATTGTTTGCGTAATAAACATCAAATGAGCCAGGAAGGTACACGAGACCGATAAAATACAAACAAAAAACGACTGAACAGACTGAGTAATAGTTTCGGGAATTCTGTAGAAAATGCGAGCGGAATAGGACCAGATACAGAGCTTCAAGGCATAAGATTGAAGAGAATAATTATAATGGTATATTGACCAGAAGAAGAGGGCTTCGAGGGCAGCTCAAGCAGTCGACTACTGAAGATTGTTTACTACGTATCTGTCACGAAGCTGCTACGATATGAAATACTGCGTGCAAGGACATGATTGTGAAGCACTTTACCTTGATATCGGACAGTGTGATACCCACCAAGGTAGATGTGAGGGTGGTGAGTGGGAGGAGGGTGGGAATGGGTGTGATGGTGGTGGGCGTGAGCCATTGGTCCTTGTTGCTGTTGTTGCTGTTGCTGACCGGCAGACTGTTGTTGAGAGGAGCCCTGTTGTTGCTGGGCTACTGAAGATGATGATTGCTGTAGATGAGGCCCTCCGCTTGATCCTGAAGGGGCAGCTGAGTACGGAATTGATTGCTGGACAGCAACAGCTGTCATCTGCTGCTGCTGTTGTGCAACGGCCACGGCATGTTGTTGTGCACTCTGTTGTGAAGGTGGTTGAGGTGGTGGCTGCTGTGGCATTAACATCAAACTGGGGCCTGCATACTGGCCTACAGTCACAGCTGTCGTCACCTGCTGGGGTGGTTGCGGCTGACCCTGATGGCCCTGAGAATTGTGCGTGACCATATGGTGATGCTGCAGATTCTGTAAGGGTGTCACGTGAGGGGACTGTCCGTGATACATGACTTGTTGTCCAGCAACTGACGTGATGGACTGAGCATGTTGCTGTTGTTGCTGGCCGCCGCTCTGTTGCGGCTGGCTGGAGGTAGGCGGTGGAGGAGGCAAGTGGTGAGGCGGAGCGGCCGGTACATACACAGCCTCGCCCATGTTGCCTAACATGGGCAAGTGCAATGGAATCCCAGTAGGTGTCATCATGCGCATCAGGCCGCCCGCGTACTGAAACGAAAAAGTTAGTTTGAACCACGAAATCTTTCTACACAAATGACGACAAATTATGACCCTAGTTACAAAAAAGGTTCATACGCCGCACTAAAAATTACCACTAAGAAATGGTTTTCTCAATGGCTCAAGCCACTGATCTTGCGAGCACACAAGAGCTAATTTCAGTTAACGTCATTCACTGGAAATCAAAAAGATTTTATTCAAGTATTAAACAAGGTGAAATTTGAACCTATATATGTATACATCAATAGCATACTAACGACACGCAAGAAATATGGGATAAGCGCCAGGGTTTGTTAGTCCCAGCTAGGACTAATTTGAACGGCGACAAACGGGAACTCACGTTGAAGGGTGCAAGCTGGGATGGAGGAGGAGCAGGAGCGCCGTGAGGAGGCGCCGCTGAGAGGAAAGTCCCCGGGGCAAGCTGCAGTTGACCACCGGTGCTCATGTGGGCATGCGAGAGCGCCGCGGCGCTGTTGGGTGCACCGCTGCCCATCACTGACGGCACTGCAACGGGCGGGCAAGTTAAGAACTCGGTACCTTGAACGGAACAATCACAAAATTAATAATTGTGTAAATGGATATATATGAGAGAATAACTTTACTTTGAAATTATTGCGCTAATAAACTTAATGTTTTGTGGAAGCAAATGAAATAGTTGAAAGCCGATAGGTAAGCTCAAAGCCTCACTAAGCTTTCTCAAAAATCAACATCGGGCTGTAATGGCAGAATAAGAAAAATTAGTTGAAACATACTCAGTTCTGCCATGCAAGCACTCGAATGCAAGACTGACCTCTTTTGACATGACGAGACGCCTGCAAAGGTACGGCAGCGTGTTGTAAATAAAAAGTTGGCTGCTGGAACCCCGCGGTTGGTACGGCACTGGCCGGCGATAGACTGTGGTGAGTCATGACGTTTGTTGAAGTCATGGTCAAGTGAGGCATATTTGCGTGCAGGTGTTGCATCTGTTGCTGCTGCACTTGGTGGGCCAAGGGCTGTTGTTGCAATTGCTGTTGATGCATCATTTGCTGTTGTTGTTGAGGCTGGGAAGTTGGAGAAGCCTGCGGACTTGCGGTATTGCGACCTCTCTGAGAACGCAGATTCCGTCAGAGAACGTTGTGCAAAGTGAAAGTTTACACAAAATGATACGAGATATCTAGTGGGTAATGAGACTGGGAACTATAATTAAAATTTGCATCGCAAATAGTAGCTAATACAAATCATGAACTGCAACAAGTTTCAAGTCATAAACAGCTGCTACAAAAAGTTCAAATATGAAAATTCCAAAAGCCATAAAGAGAATAAAAAAGTCTACTCACCGGAACAAAAGGCTTGGCATGAGGATTGAGCTCCTTAGGAGTGGGAACCGTTTTCAGTGTGTCTGACTGCTTGTCTGGGTCCTCAGAAGGGGCGGGAGAGCTCAATGCTGAAGGTTCGGTCTGTGCTGCAGGCACTGCCACCACGGAAGACGCCCCAGAGACGCTGGAGGATGCAGGAGGAACAGGGCTGGTCTTGGGTGTGGTGGAGGGACTTGCACTCCGTGGGACATCAAGAGGCTGAGCAGCAGAGGGTGGTGAGGATTGAGGCTCTTGCTTTATTGAAGGCCTTGGAGATGACACTTGATGCTGAGGCGGCGGAGGCAGCTGTTGCTGTGGAGGCGGCAGTTGATGCATTTGTGCAGAAGGTTCAACAGCTCCAGGAGGACCGCGAATCTGCTGAGGTGCACTTTCATGCTGAGGAATATGTTGGTTATGAGGCCCCTGCCTTTTATGGAACTGTGACTGTTGTTGCTGCTGCGGTTGTTGCTGAGTTTGTGGATGTTGCTGCGGTGGTTGTTGATGCTGCTGCGATTGCTGGTGTTGCGGTGGCTGTTGGTGCTGTAGCGGTTGCTGGTGCTGCTGAGGTTGTTGATGATGATGCTGCTGTGGATGTTGAAGCGGCTGCTGTTGTGGATGTTGTAGCGGCTGCTGTTGTTGATGCTGTTGCTGTGGTTGTTGATGCTGTTGCTGCAGTTGTTGATGTTGTTGCTGTGGTTGTTGATGTTGCTGCGGTTGATGTTGTTGCTGCTGTTGATGATGTTGCTGAGGTTGTTGATGCTGTTGATGTTGCTGAGGTTGTTGATGCTGTTTCTGCGGTTGTTGATGCTGATGATGAGGATGCTGTTGTTGCTGCTGTTGTTGATGTTGCTGCTGCTGTTGTTGTTGATGTTGCTGCTGCTGCAGTTGTTTATTATGCTGTTGTTGCAGTTGAATTTGCTGCTGTTGTTTCAATTGAGGAGGCAACCCACTAGCGGGTTGCTGATGCCTATTTTGAGGAGCAACAGGCATATTATGTGCAGCTTGCTGATGTTGTCGTTGAGTTGCTTCACCCGCCTCGGACTCAGAGAGTGTAAATTCACTGCCAAACTTCTTAAGATCAGCAGCAATGTGATCTTCCTTAGCTTGGTGATGCCTTTGGCCTCTTGCTGATCGATTGTCAAGACGATTGGTGTGATCTTCACTGCGTTCTCTTGGTGGGCGATGCGGATGGTTTCCTTGGTGCGAGGGAACTTGTTGTTGCTGCTGCAGCTGTTGATGGTGATGCTGAGGAGGAGGAGGCTGCTGTTGCTGCTGGTTTGGAATAGCTTGCTGTGGCTGCATATGCTGAGGATGACGGCTAACTGAGCCAGTATCACTTTGTGAATCTTTGTTATATCTCGTAGAATTGTTGTTTATGGGCAAATGTGAAGAAGTAGTTGAGTTACCATCTTCTAAACTATTGACAGAATTTACAATAGAGCTAATGGAACTAGTACTGCTGCTACTATTGCTACTATTATTTACATTACTGCCAGCAGTGCTGGTACCATCTTTGAATTGATCTTTAGCATTAAAATGCCGGCGATTACTATTATCTTCTTTCCTATTTCTATGATCCAGTGATCGATTATAGCCTTGCTGCTGCTCGTGCTGCTGAGGTTCTACGTATCTATTTTTATGCTGCACAGGAGGTGACTGTTGCTGTCCGATATTCGGCGACGCATCAGAGCGTTTGTCCTTCACGTCGCGAGGGGTGCGACCATCGGGCATGAAACCATGCTGCTGCTGTTGCTGTTGTGAGCCGCTGCTGTCCACTTGTCCCCCAACAGCACCTATTGGCAAAGAATGCATGATTGTGAACCGAATTATATCACAATTTGACTGCAGATACCTATAGTAAAAGAAAATACTTTTATTCATTATAAAAATACATAACATCATTTTTGGAAAGTAAATGTGATCGCAGGTAAGATTACATTTTAGCCTGTGAAAAAATTATTTGGTTTGTCCAAACCTCTTGACTCGCCATTTGTGGCAAACTTGTCCTTCCTGTTATCAGGTTTGACAGCCTGAGGCGGCAGGGCAACACCACCAGGAGGAGCGCCACGATCACGACTATGATGATGTTGCTGCTGATGGTGATGTTGTTGCTGTTGCTGGTGGTGATGGTGATGCGGAGGTGGCTGATGGTGCTGGTTGCCACCACCATACTGCTGCTGTTGTTGTTGTTGCTGCTGCTGCTGGAAGCGAGGCGGCTGGGAACTCATGTGTCTCTGATTACCGCGGCCAGCGTTGCCACCGCTAGAAGACTTCTGGACCCGACGGTTCGGAGGAACATAGAGTTGCTCACCGCCATTCGAGCAGCTGCCGCTCGCAGCGTCTGGCCGCATTACAGCCGAGAATATCCTGTGGGGGAGACGAATAGTTAAGTCTTGCAGACTGCCATAGTAATGCGGCGCTCCAGCGTGGCCTGGGACTTAAGTCCCAAAACTCATACTAATGATATTGAGGTTAACATACGTCTTTAAAACAACTCAAAATGTAGCTTAAAAAAAATTATATGAACAGAGCTGGTACACTATCACTCAAACAGTATATTAATATAAACAGAATCAAACGAGACTTAACTTATAGGCTGGAAAATTTAGGAAATTTTACAATAATTGTAATAATTTACTTACTCTTCTTCTTCCCTGTCATCATGATGAACTGTTTTTTCTTGTTCTATTTCCTTGGCCAGCTTGCCGGCCTGACGGTATTCATCGCTACTCTTGTCAACATTAATTTTAGTTGTGTAGCCTGTCATGTCTGGGCAGTAGGTGGACTCCACTCCAAACTTGTCCTGGTTTGTGCTGAACATCTCGTTAGCGTCCCAACCACGCTGTGCCAACATACATTTCATGTAAATTAAACACCTGCAAATGTTGTCTTATAATGATAAAATATGCTGTTCATTTAGACTAAGGAAAAAAATTTAGGTTCCAAATGACTATTACAAGGCAGCTAGTAAGAAATAACATTGACTAGAAGGTAGATACAGACCTCTCACAGCTCCAAATAAAAATTCATCAATCAATTTGATACCGTTTGAAATTTCATGCGCAAAAGTATTAACATTATTGATGGGACTTGTACTTATACTTACAACATTATTGATGGGCAAAATTGACTAACACTGGAATACAGTAGTAAATGTAGAGAAGCTGCTCGAAAACTTGGAATTTAAATCTCTTGGAAAATTTTTATTCTGGAAAACCTTTCAGACTATTGGTTCCAGTGTCACAGGCCACATACAAGCAGATGCAAAACTCAAAAATTACTCCAGCTTACACAACACACATATGTACTCGTGCACGTTTGCCACATAAAACGGTAAGGTAATTAAAATGGCTGTCAGTGGAGCATATCACATCAAACACACTTAACAGCTCTTCCAAAATAAAAAATAATACTTGAAAGACCTTATAACTGACCTGTCCTGACTCGAGCATCTCAGACAAGCCCTCTTCAAGACCCTTGTCAGGATCATCACTGGTCCAGGCTTCGAGCTGTCGCTCGCCATGCATGCCATTGGCCCCACCTCGTCCAGAGATCTGGCTGTCCGTTGAGAAGGGGGCGCCATGGTCTCCTGTGTTAAGAAGCTACAGTATAGGCAGAACTGTTGTGCTACAGTATAGGCAGAACTGTTGTGCTACAGAACATTACAGTAAAGGTATGACCATTCCCTAACGAAACAATGCAATAAATATATGAATGACTTGAATAAAGTGGTGCAGAGCTGTCCAATGAAAAATGTGATCTTGTGCACAAAAATTTGACTAAATAGCATTATACATATATGACAAGGTTATCCAACATGTTCTATAGTAATTCAAGAGATATATATAGCAATGATGTGATATCAAAGGAGCAGCCACCAGATATTTTCTTCCTACCCAAGCAGATATCATGATTTTGGTAAATCCCTTTCCATTTTCCATGTGTTAATGTTCATTGTTTTCAATTTCGATTGGTCGCATAATAAATATCACAATTTGAACTATATTCACTGTATTTAACGTCATCTTTAACTTCCACATTAATCTCAGTTGCAAATAAATTTAGATTTGCAAATAGATTTTCCAATTTAGAATGCAAAAACGTGTGTTGTTTGAATTTAAACTATCTGAGCCTGACACTTCTAGCATATGCAGCAATGAAAAGCTTAGTCCTTGGAAAAAATTTCAAGAAGGTACATCCAGAAAGACGAATTGGGATCAACAGGTTTGGAGTTAAAATGACACAAACAACACTGAAACCTGGCCACTTCTACACCAGACTGCCCTTCTTTGTGTCTAACTAAAGAGACAAACTCAAAAATGCCCTGCCTCCGCACTTGCTCCAAATCTCTACATTTCAGTGGCCATTGACTATTATGTAAGGTCTGCTTTGGTTTTATAGGTTGAGAGTTGAGGTAAGTGTGGCGAAACAGCCATGACGGTTTCATTCAAGTGAATTGAGGATAGGTTTAAGCAGTGACTGTGGACTCGTGGCTCCTCTGCATTCTAGCAATCAATTGCTTTGAATGTACTCACCCCTATGATGCTCATGCTACAGAAAGGAATATGAAGCAATTGTGAAGTTGAGCATAGTTGGCAATAGAATATGTACATACGTTCACAAGAGCATGGCCAAGTAAAATTAAAGTCAGATTTAATTAATTCCTCCAAAACAAAAACCTACCCTTAGGATCAGTTGTTAAATCCACATTGACAGTGTAGAAGTCAACAATTGAATCAGCTGGGAAGAGCATGAGGTCCTCCATCTTGGCAGACACTTCCATCACATTCACATCACCTTCATCAAGCTTCATGTCAGGGTTATTCATTTCGTGCACCATGGATAAAACCAGCTGCCCTGATGGGTCCACAGTGTAGAAAATGCCTTCATACGTCCTGTTATTTGTTGTATGAACCTGTACAAACACAATCAATTAGTCATTGAATAGATTATTTTATGAATATTAATTTTTCCCCAACAAGGAACAAGTGCTACAAGTGTACTCTCAATAACAACTCGGAATGTTTAGTCTGACAATACCCAAATCAAAATTTGGTGAATTGAGCAGTTAAGACAAAATTATTGTATACACGCAATGACCAGGGCAAAATTCCACAGTTATGCTCCCTTACTTTTCCACCCAATCGCTCTGTACAGCATGGTTGCTCTAATGCATAAAGACTTCCAACCTATTCTATAATCAGTTGTCACTTTTCATGCAGAAAATATACAACAGCAGTAAAGAGCAATTCTTTTATTATAATATGTTACCTATGTTCACTAATTCACCCTTAGAATCAAAGCTTGAGAATAACCAGTGTATTACTGGCAATTTGGAGCCATGGAGATAAGGGTCTTAACATTTAACATTTTTCATTTAAGGACAGCACTATTCTAAGATATTAGTTTAAAACACTAGGTTTTACTTTTGCAGCCAACATAATAGAAATGTCTAAAAGAATTTCCAAATTATGAATAAGGAGTTATCTGAAGGCATTTCAGCAAGTAGTTCTGGGTGGCTTCCTCAAACAATTGGTTGAAAGGTCCCTTGAGCTCATGCCACAATTTGGAACTTAGAAGGCAATACAAAAATTAATCTCACCCTAGTAACAAGGCCACATTGCAGAGCCATAGAGTTCATTAACCGATGATTTTCATAAAGTCCTGGGTTGCCATCAGTTGGAGATGTTCTGTCTCTGCGCTGTGATGAATTGTTGACGTTGCTGTTACTAACAGGCCTAAAACAATGAGAAGAAATTGTGCATGAGAACATACATAGAAACAGACTCATCACTTATAATATTTCATTAATAAAATTTCACAACAATTTTACTTTTAAAGGCCATAAGGAAAATTGAAAGATATTACACAATCCTTTCATGTATGTTAAATTATTTATGATAGTCATGCAAACTTGTGCACTAATTTCTTGCTTACAAAATTTAATTTTCAATGATCATTCTTTAATAGTTCAGCGATGAAGCCTCAAAGAGGTAATCATCATTTATTTTGAGCTGGAATACACAATTGATGCAACTTGGTCTGCAGCTAAAATTAGTCTCTGATATGAGGTTACCTACAAGCATCATTGCTCCTCAGTCAAAAAAAATTAGGCAAAAGCAATATTTCATGTAGTACATATAATGTATAACATCTAAAAAAATTAGGGTAAATGATCTAAATATTTTACTTAATATTTATTGAATTAAAATTTTATCAATGGTTGGACTTAAATTTGCTTTGAATGGGAAGCACATGCAAAATTATTACAGATAAACGCACCTTGTATTAGAAGTCTTATTATAGTTACTGTTGCTTCGAGGAGCCTTTAATGCCCATTGACAAAATTTTTCTGTCAAATAGTTTTTGAGTTGTGGTGGTTTTTGTAAAAAAAACGAAAAGTGGTCTAAGTTACCCCGCCGGTCTAAGTTACCCCATTTTACGGTATTACACAATCCTTTCATGTATGTTAAATTATTTATGATAGTCATGCAAACTTGTGCACTAATTTCTTGCTTACAAAATTTAATTTTCAATGATCATTCTTTAAAAGTTCAGCAATGAAGCCTCAAAGAGGTAATCATCATTTATTTTGAGCTGGAATACACAATTGATGCAACTTGGTCTGCAGCTAAAATTAGTCTCTGATATGAGGTTACCTACAAGCATCATTGCTCCTCAGTCAAAAAAAATTAGGCAAAAGTAATATTTTGCATGTAGTACATATAATGTATAACATCTAAAAAAAATTAGGGTAAATGATCTAAATATTATACTTAATATTTATTGAATTAAAATTTTATCAATGGTTGGACTTAAATTTGCTTTGAATGGGAAGCACATGCAAAATTATTACAGATAAACGCACCTTGTATTAGAAGTCTTATTATAGTTACTGTTGCTTCGAGGCATGCTTTTGTCATCCCTGAAAAAAAAAATCACTTGTCATTTTTGAAACATCACAGAACTAAACTTGGTGAGTGGCAAGGAAAGACTGTTAGCAGCTGCGGGGGAGCAAACTCTGAGAGTACCATTCAAGGCTGGCAGAGGAGATAAAAGACATTTTACCTACCACTATCCTTAGCCAAGTGCTATTTAAGACCAGTATATTTTAGTACCAGTATTGTCAATTATTTTTTAATGCAATACCTTACTTAGCCTCAGGGATTTATGTTCAAGAATATTATAGAAAGATGTATTTTAAGACCCATGCAGCATCAGCACAAAATCCACAATGAATTCATCAGCAGATTATTTTCAAGACCTAAAATATTGTGTCACTGCAATATCATAGATTTCTTTCTATATACCGGTACGTACTACAATCTTACAGCTCCAAAGTGACATTTTTTGAAAAGTTTGGAATCTCTTGGTTTCATCATGCACTCATGTTAGCAATAAGATTGGGAATGATTCATCAAGGAGGAATCTTGAGGCTTCAAAAATGCCAGGAGAGCTATAGTCATGACTTATAACAAGTATATATATGTGCAAACATTCATCATTTCCTTAGATTAATAATGAAATGTATATATACCTCTTAGAAGGTAAAAATATATCAAATTATCATACATACAAGTATCAATGATATGCAAAAAAATATATATAATTTTTTATTTTCAAAGTTGGTCCGAAAAGTGAATCATACAAGTATCAATGATATGCAAAAAAAAATATATATCATTTTTTATTTTCAGAGTTTGTCCAAAAAGTGAATCAAGAGTTGGCAATTGAAGCAGCCCATTGCAATCTTGTTTCCAGTCTAAAAAAACCATGGCTTTAATCCATAACGACAAGCTACTCATCAAATTGTGGCCAAACATTTGATGAAAATTCATTTATTAACATTTAAAATAATTTTGATAAAGAAATATACCTACAGTTGTGCAATCATCTTTTTAAATTTTTTCTTTTGCAATTTTCATTACATCCTTGGCTCCTTTTTGCAAAGCCACAAAATTTGGTGATCATGCACAAAAGTCAATATTTCATTGCTTTCTTAAAGCACTTTGTAGTAACACTGGCAAAATGCAGCCAAATAGTAAATGCAAATAACTTATAGATTACGAAGATTATGTGGTTATAATTTTAGATTCCCTTGTTCATTTCCAAATAAAAGTTGACGAAATAATTCACTAAGAAGAATATGGTTATAATTTCAAATACTTTGGTTCATTTACAAATAATAATTAACTGAATAAAGCTATCAGCTAAGCTTGGAGATCAGCACACAATGCCTACCATGGTATCATACATGAAATCTGATGGTCCATTATTTTGGTCTTTGGTAGTACTCTGCAAGGTTCTGGCACATTTGTACTTAGAAGTTAGATATATTCCACACTTATCCATTTGGGAAAAATTGGGAAGGAGCCACTCATGAATGAGACAAAAATGCCTGTACTTGTCATCAATTTCACCCATTTTTATGGCTCTTGCTAATTTTTGTATTAAAAAATTAGAAAACTGGCAGATTTACCCACAATGTGAAAAACTTGCCATAAAAAATGGTTTATGACCATAATACATTAGTTTTTAACCAACATTTTTTTTTTAATTCTGCTCAATATTTTGGATTAGACAAGGCCTTCTTTGTCACAGGAGATTCAATTCTAGATCATAATTTTCATACTTCAGAAATCTTATGACTCTAGGGACAAATTTTCTATGCATTAGGAATTTTGTGAACCATCTTATAGTTTTATCAACAATTAGAAGATAATTCATCTAGCAGGAATCTTGCAGTGAGGCCAGGTCTAAAATGTATTGTACTGCAAGAAAGATAAACCAGTTACCTGCTAGATTTACTACTGTCAAACGGGGTAAAAAGGGACGGTTTAGAGCATTTTTTGGTAATAACTTCTTACCATGAAACATTTCAGAAACAAGTGTGACGGTATGAATATTGTGATTTTTTTTTTTTAGGAGTACCTACCCTTTTGACCACGTGTCATGTTGATAATGTTCTTTTGCTAGATTAGTGACTCAAAGTGATTGCATATATTTTTTGGGATCTCGTTACTGTGATATTATTTCGTATGATTACAAAATGTGTGAGCATATTTTGTTTCATGGCTGTAATATGGAATCTTGTCTAGCTGTGGTGTTTGTAGGATTTAGTTAGTGTCTTGGGACGAGAAAGGTGTAGCTCCAACATGATTGGTTGAGCCGCTCCTGACCTCGTTATAACGCGCGCTAGGTAGTCGTGAACGATGGAGAGTTTGGTCTCTTAGGAATTAGTTCAAGATTATTAGATTTTTAACTGTGATTAGATTGCCAAATGATTACAAGTATGTTGAATTTATTGTATTATATTATATGTGATTTGGCAGTGTATTAGGGCTAGAACCCCTAGTCTCTGCGGTTTGTTGTTGGCATCTTGGTGCGGTTAGTTCCCGTACCATTTGCTGTACGATTTGGTGATTTGGCAGTGTATTAGGGCTAGAACCCCTAGTCTCTGCGGTTTGTTGTTGGCATCTCGGTGCGGTTAGTTCCTGTACCATTTGCTGTACGTTTCTGTGATTAGGTGTATTAGGGCTAGAACCCCTAGTCTCTGTGGTTCGTTGTCGGCATCTCGGTGCGGTTAGTTCCCGTACCATTTGCTATCCGTTTGTGATTTCGTGGTGTATTAGGGCTCATACTGTGTGGTTTTTCGGCTGTCTGTACCTCTGAAATGTCAAGCCTTTTTCCGCAAACTTTTGGATTAAGAAGAATAACAAATTGTGATCCTTGTATGAAGAAACTTGTATTTGCCTGAAGATTACCAGTATACTACAAAAACTTCGTGTTCATTACTCCTTTCTATAATGTAAAGGAATTTAGAGCCGGACCAAAGAGCGACTCTTTAGCCCTTGTGTTTAGGATCAGAATGAAAGTCTATACCAAGTCGGCACGCTACCCATAAATATTTCAACTTTGCGATGGTTTTTCCAGTTACACAAGTTTAGGCTCATTTTATAGCTCTTTGTGAGGGCTATCCAATGGCATCTTCAAAAAATTCCATATGCTATTTGTAAGGTGCCAGACGCAAAATAAAAGTCCCAATTTACCCCTGAGAACGGGGTAATCCGGGACACTTGCAATAAAAGTTAATTTTAAAATGTTTGAAGCATGCAGAGTGTACTCATGTATTACTAACAGTACTTTGAAGTCCTCCTCTTTCATTGTAGATGTTGTAGATGTAAAATAAATGACAATTTCTGAGATTTTTACTTGTTTTTCCTTTATTGATATTATATTACCATATTAATTACCATATTATTAATGTGATATTACTGTATCCATGGACATGGCATTGAGCATTGACAATGACCTTGTCCTCTACAAGCTTCATATCAGCAGCCATGTAGCATTTTTTCTGTATCTGTAAGCTTACAGGATGGTTTGTAATTTTGCACAATTTTAATTGAGTCAAGTGATTTCACTATAACAAAAAAGATCATGAAAAACATACCTGAAACAGAAAATAATGTTTTAGTGACAACCATCATATGTTTTGGAGAAATAAATCATAGTTTAGGTCAATTACTTTTCTTTCTATGATGCCCGGGGCACAATTCTATATATAGCATTCTATGTACAAGTTTGTGATGACCGATGATGCACCAATTTTTCGATAAGTGAATTTTTTTTTGCTGAGCGAGGTAAATGTAATCAAAATTCTTTGTTGTTAATCAATTTTTTTGTTAACTGGAACCTTTG